AAAAAGGAAAATAATACATACAAGGAGCAAATGACACCGAGGGATCGTCCTCTCTTTTGCACGAATATTATGTGGGCTCATTTTTCGAGCTCTAATAATTGCGACTCTATATACATATGTACCGTTTTAGCGAGGATTTTAGAGAGATGCAGATAAGAATTTAGTTTCACTCGGAACAGAAGAAGGAGAGACAGGGAGGAGAGGAGTTATTAAGCCTACGTCTTGGCTCATAATAAGTTAAAACTGCCTTCTTCCTCTCCAACTCTGTACGTGTACCTATCTACTTTGCGCTCGAGAAAATTACCCTCGATTTCACTCGCCCTTACCTCTATTGCGTACGTATACACAAGTGGAAAGAAATAAAAATTAGCGGCACTTCGAAGAGTATACATACGTGCGTGTCGAGCGAGACAAAACTGCGCGACAGCTGCTACACTTGTACCCTTGGGGCCTGACTGAAATTTCAAACGAGCCGCTGTATATACATATACTCGATCGAGCCGCGCTTTACGAGCCAAGAGACGAGCTGCTGTTCCCCCGCGACCTTACTTTGAAGGTACTCTTTTGATGGGTGCAACCGGTGCGCGTCACCTTAAATATACTCTTGGTCGCTGCTGCAGTTATACCTACACACACCTATATGCTTGAGTGCCGGGAAGAAAAATTAAAAAAAAAAGATTAAGGGAACCACGGCCCGGGTCGATTTTTCTTTTTGGATTAGAGGCTGCGGAGACCGCGGTACGATCGAGACGGTTATTAGGATTTGATCAATGGATGCTGCACCGCGGGTTAATTGCTTTTTCCTCTCCGTTTGAAATGATACGTGATTTCCGAGGAGAGTGAACGAACTCTTGGAGTATAGGCTGGGGGTGAAAATTACCCACGTGTGAAAAAAGTGAGTGTTTGGTGCATGAAAATAAAAAAAACTCGATTTTGGGGTACATTTATAAATAGGAGCAATAAAACTTAAGTGTGACGTAATTTCGTGAGCCTAGTATACGTACGAGAGGGGAAAATGTGTACGATGTAACGTGCGCGTCTAAATCTGTATGCGTGTGTGTAGCTTGTTTTCAAAAGGAAACGCAACGCGAGCTATAAATTTCAGCTGCGGAGTCGAGTTTATTTGATTTTTACGAGAGCTCTTCAAAAGCTCTCTTATCGACTACGACATTTGACTCGCTCAAAAATAATTTTTACACGTGTTTCTTTTTTTGCTATTCTTTATGCAAGCAACTGCGTTATAAAACCGTGCTCCGAACAACGTGCACGAACATTTAGCGATAAATTCCGTACCAAGACTGTTTTTCGTTGCCATAAATAAACGTCACATTTAGTGTATCACAACAACGACGAGGATACGACTACGGAGATAATAAAATCAAAGATACACAGCAAGAAGATCGATACCACGTAATATGTATGTATATATGGTTGAACTGGAGAACAAACGTCGCATTGTTGTGAATGAAATCGAGCAAAGCCTCCCAGAGCCGATCGATCGAATTCCCATAAGGGAATTCCAAAGAGTTAGCTACCGATGCATCCCCTCGATACCGATCACCGGTTCGCCGATAGACGTTACGTCAGTTCGCGCGAGTGTATATAACTCTCGCGCCTTTCAAAACCAGCAGCTTTGGCGCTACGTACACGTCCATACAGACGAGGGGATCCTCTTTTCCCTCCACCGTAAGGAGGACAAATCGGTATGGCCGCATGCGGAGAATATGCAATGACTGTGTATACCAAGAGGGAGAGAAGCGCGCGCATACATAACGTAAATCACGAGCTGAGAGTCCGTATATGTTTGTGGCGACAGATAACGTCGATCGAGCGCGTGTTTACCACACTTGGTTTTTCTTAAAGAGACACTCTATTGGTATGCATTTTTTTTTTAATAAGATCGGTATTGAGGTGCTAATAGCTGCGACAGTGTTTACGCTCTTCAGTCACCGGTGAGGTGTTTACTTTTGTACTTGACACGCAGACATGCACTTCACGCGCGAAGAAAAAAAAATATATATATATATGTATGCTCGTGCGCCCAGGAGCGTATACATTAACGCGTAATTATTTTATCCGGGCGATCGGCTCTCCTTGCCCGATTATCGCCATCTCCGCCACCTCGATTTTTACACTAACAAGAGCCTCGCTGCCAAAACAACGGGGGTGATGGGGGAAAGAAAAAAAGAGACTTATCTCGCCACTCAGCGAAAAACAAGAAATCGAGATACGATCGGTAAAGTTTTGCGCAAGCGGCGCTTTAAATTAAACGAAAAAAAAAAAAAAAAAAAAGGCTCGACTCCCGGGGCGCAGTTATCGCCTCTCGCGCTCCGCATATAATGGGATAGTTAACGCGGCACGTGTCCATTACGCGGCATATACATGTATAATATGCTTTAGACAATCTGGTACCGATCGCCTCTGCCGCAGGAATTTTCGTTTTTTCGAGACCCAGAGCGAGAAAAATTACCACTCGAGGAAGCTGGGCGAAAATACCCACGGACCCAACCTATAACTTCCATCTGTCGGTCCGTTGGGCGCACACCTTGATAATTAAATAACGATTAGAAAAAGAGAAAAAGTTATAATCTCACGGATTGGCGTCGAAAACAAGGGACACGTGTCCGAGCGCTTCTGGAAATTCGTGGATTCCCAATAAGTAGAGAGTCGGCCGTTCAAGCTTGTAAAACGAAAACGAGGGGAAACCTAGCATGATAAACTGCGACACTGTACGGCAACGTACATATACATATATACACACACACGTATACATATATACGTAGGTATATACACACGGAATGAGGTACTTATACAGCCGGGTGCGGCGTTTTAGGTATTTTAACGAAAGTGAATGTAGACACTCTGCTATATACCGTGTGTAAGGGAGCAACAGTGTCGTAGTAGCTGATAAATATGCGGTAGCTTTATCGGATGGACGCGTGTGCGCGCGCGTTTCGCTGATACACCCGCATACTTATTTGGTGAAATTGTATGCCATTACGCGAGAATAAGATATACGCTCCCTACGACCCTTTACGTGCCGTGTATACGTGTGTATCGTAATGCGCTCTATCGGAGGGCAAATAAAATTTTAGCACGAAATATTTATGATGATTGGATTGTACATGGTAGTGGTACGTCTATGTATACCACCGGAGTCAAGCTTCAGTGAACGTTACGTTTTAAAATATCCATTTTACCATATTATATACATTGTGGGCTTTTGTTATTGAAATCCCTCATTACGCGCTTTCAACGAAATCCGCGTTGTTTTCTACATGTCCATGTACACGTATGCACATACAATAATTGCTCGCAGTAGGTTAAACTAGCACCTACTACTGAATACTAAAATTGCCGAGAGATCGTTATCGCGAGCGTATAAACCTGAGTCGTTGGTTATTGCAAAACGGGCGATTTTGCAGCAAAACAGGGAGTTGGGCCCCAAAAGCCGTGGGGTCGTTCTTGGGTATATTTCTCATCCATCGAAACGATATAAGCAATAAAAGTATACTTACGTATAGCGAGCGACATGACTATCAGCACACACACACTCTGGAGTACACGGTATGGCCGCGGAGGTGTGCAACGTAGCATGAAGAAACAAGAATGACGACGTACACACAATGCGCGGCAAAAAAGGCATATTACATGCCCACTCACACACGAGGGTAATAGAACAACGACAAGCGAGAACAACAGAAACAGGACACATTGCGGGGGTGAGTGGTAGGTACTAGCATACCTACGTGTGCCCTGCATTGAGAGCCTGCAAGAACATCGAGTTTTACAAGTCGAATGGTAAATGTACACGTGTACAGATACATATACATACACGTGTTCGAATTCTACGAGGCAGCAGCAACGAGAGTGTGTGAGAGAGAGAGAGGTCTTTGTATATGTTTCAAAGAGAGTGTGTGTCTGTGTGTAGGAATAGTAATATGGCAGTAGCGGACATACAATTTATGCATTATTCATGAAGCCGTCGGTTAATGCGCAAAAATAAAACCCGATCATCTCTTCTTCTTCTCTGCTGCTGATGCTGGCGAGCTTCGTCTTTCTCCTTTGCTCCTCCGCGGACGTAATTCAAGCTAATCAAGCGTGTGGTACTCGTGTATACACATATAAGGATATAAGTGGCGTTATGAGCTCATAAGAGAGAGACAGAATCAAAAGGCTTCATTGAGCTGCGGAGGAAGAAAAAGATGGTCAGCTTTTAAAAGTGGAGCCGGCAAAAAGCGAGGGAGCCGAGTATACATATATATGAGCGAAATTTCAACTCCACGTATTATGTATATATATGTACACGTTGCAACGGACTCCGCCGATCGGATACATATTCCGGCGTTATGAATAATCAATCGGGTGCGCGAGAGAGAGTCGTGCGGCTTATATGTGTGCTCCCTTGCGAGATAGGGAGATACCTATAAAGGTTGTAGGTGGTATCGTCTTTTTACATCCGCCGTTTACGTTTTGTTTCTCCATTCTTTCTTTCCTCCGACTTTTGCTTCGTTACCTTTTCTTTTTTTTTTTTTTTTCTCTCTTCTCTCGTTTATCCTTTTTCAATATTCGCGTGGTCGTAAATCACGATGAATATTGTGCCCTGTGTGTATAATGCACTACGTGAGTTTTTTTTCCCTATGGAAAAGAGAGATGAAAGGATGCTGGGCCTTTGGGACTTGATTTGGAGCTGCACAAGGAGTGTAAGTACAGCGGGAGTAAGTAGCGTTTTGAGACGAAATTCCACGATTATGTACTTACTCGTCGAGCACAACAGATCCATCATAAAATTGCTGACTAATTTTGCGGGAACTCAGCGCTTTCTACTTGTAGCATGAATAGGTTGTTACTTATGCGCATCGTTCAAAGTAAAAGCTACGCAGGGCTGAGTGCTGTACGTGTACATCGATGAGTCAAACTGGACTTCACCAAGTAAAAGTAGCAACACTGTGTTTGAACAGTAGAGTGTGAAAGGAGAGAATTGATTTTGAATTTTATTATCGGGACAGCGCGTACGCAGTCCCAGCTATCAAAAATAACACGTCCGAGATACCCACTTTCGGAGTATTCGCGGGGGTCAGCTCCCTCGAAGTGCAATGAGAAAGCCTCACCCCGGGGGATCTGCCTTGTTGATCACAGATAACCCCAACGCCAGGTAAGTATGCCGACTCAACCCCCTTGTCCCCTTCTTATTACCACTACTCGACTACTTTACTTGTGAAGTGTTTATTTTTCGACTCCAAAACTCTAGCGGACTTTGATGAAACGTTAGACGCTCATTTTGGCTCGGCGCGCTTGTTTGAATCGAAGCAAGTGGTGCTTGGTGTAGAGTACAGACAATGCGATACAATTAAGGAGGATCGATACATACTATCGACAATGATTGAGAGCTCTAATTTACTTTTTGATGTCATTTTCTGCCTCGTAAAAAAATAAACGTGGATTTTTTGGGGAATCTCAGCCATGTAGATATTTCAAAATAAAAAAACGAACAATTTAACACGGGCTGTTATGGGTAACAATGTTGTGACTTAAAAACAACATACCTATAGTGATGGGTAAAAAAAATATGTATATTTATTTATTTCGATGCTTCAAATACTTCAAATATTCAATGCCACCGGAATAAACTGTGTTGCGTTCTGGCGGTAATGCCGCGAGCTTTCAACACCTCTGACCCCGCTGCACCGCCCTCCCGTAAGATTGTATCGAATCCTTTCTAAGGTACGTTATTGACAATTTTCCCATAACAGCCCGTGGTGAATTGTTCATTTTTTATTTTGAAATATCTCAATAACTACGTGACTGAGATCGCCCAAAAAATGTTAATTTATTTTTTATAACTCATAGAACGAATCAAAAATTAAATTGGAGCTCTCAATCATTGTCGATGATGCGTATCGAACCTCCTTGATAAAAGTGGATCGAGAGTAAAGATTAAACTTTTTAAAAAGTATTATATGTGTCAATTAGCTATAAATCCATTATAATTAAGTCCAATCTGAATGTTTTGTTAGTATTTGGGCCAAAATAAACGAATCATCCAATAAAACCCAACAAAGACTAAGGAAATATGGTGGCATATGTTAAAGATAATGACCAACGTAAATATTTATGAATTTGTGCATATATACACTGCGTGTAATGTATGCAGGAATACGTGAATTTTACTATTTGCAATTGAAAATGAAAAAAATGTTGTTACTCTGAAAAAGAGCTATGTGTTTTCTGTTACAAAAACAGGAGACGAAGGACAATTAATAATTAAAACGTTACATCTATCTCAGCGCCGGTAGTATACATATAAAAAAAAATATTTCATTGATATTTTATTTTGATTTTTTTATTTATTTTATTCAAAATTTAATTGTTATTAAAATTTTCAAAGATGTATTAATTTACATTCGCAAATTAGTTTTAAAACCATACAATTACGAGTATTTCAATACCGTGTTTATATTCCATGTAATTCAATATTTGCTTTCAATAAAAAAAAAAAAGTTGAAAAAAATCCTGATGGTAAAATAAACCAATAGTTTCACAAACCAAATACACGGCAGGATCGTATATGTATATAACAACAACGAACTAAAAAGTTATAAAAAATAAAAGTCAACACCCAACGAGCAAAACATATAAACGATACCGCTGGCCATAGTATCAGAGGAGAGTGTTTCTATGGAGCAAAGAGAAAAAAAAATCGTATCGACCAGAGCGTAGTCGAGCTGTTTCTATTGTATCGCCGAATAAGCGAAAAATTGGAAAACAATCCAAATCAAATATACTTCCATCCAATCCAGAAGCTACTCCGACTCTCTTGTATAAATTCCAACGCACCGTGACCCTACGCTGCAAACGAGAGCGAAAATCAGGTTATTTGCACGATGATATGGGAAATATACGCCCAACCCTCACCGGAGCCCCGTTTTCTGGAAACCCCAATCGGCAAATGAGAGGAATCATCGCGAAAATCAAATTTTCCATACTCCAAGGGAATTGATTTTTTTTTCTTCTCCTCCACGTATGCTTACATCTCCGTTTTTGTGATTATCCGATGTACGCTCGCGCGCACGGACGAGCGGAGAAAAAGGGTTGGATGATTTTTTCCAGACGCCAGCGCGAGTCGACCTACATCGATTCCACGAGAGATGCGGCGCTCATAGCCCGTCGGAGCTGTTTTGTATATACGTCCCCAAGTGCAACGGCGAAAATATCGTTATTGGAGAATACGCCCGTGTAGCAAGTGCACGTCTCCTTTACACACGGAATGGTTTATCAGTCGCGGGAGAGGGTACGTGTGATGCAATCTCGAGTGTATCACGTGCCGAGCATGTCACATCTCAAGAGGAGCTCGGATTTTTTCGACTAAACTCGTCCTTGTTGCGCGACTCCGTGAAAATTCATTTTTTCCATATTTTTTATCTCCAGACACGACTTCACGTTTCACGCCACGTGAGGATCAAAGCAGAGAATACTTGTGATCGCCACTGGACTTTCAGACGAGAAATCGTGGAAAACTGTTTTTTTTTTTTTTTTTTTTTACTGCGAATAGTCGTTGTGCCTTATCGCGCTATCGCTGGTTTTGGAAAAATAATAGTTTTATCGACCAGAGGTGCCATATCTACGGGTAAACTTCCGAGCACTTGAAAGATCTACCTGTGTCGCGTTACGTAATGATTTTGTAGCGAAAAAATGACAAATGATTGCACGTTTTTTAGAGAAAAAGTACATCACTCCGACGTAGTCGTTCGAGTGGGTGGACGGGAAGGGGAGCTCTCGGTACCTACAGTACACACATCCTACCTTTTTCTCCGAGCGTATGATCCCCTCTTGTTCCCAGACATCGGCCTTGATCTCCTCTAATACTCCGATTGTTTTTAGCTGTACACCAGACCTCCGTCGTCCGTAAATATATTTTAAAAGCAGCAAAAAGCGTCCGTACAGTTGTTTGCCCGGCTTCGTACTTTTTCGCCGCAACCGTGTATACTGTATCCCGAAAGCTCATGGCGCTTTTTTTTAGCTCGGCAGAATTGCGATACCATAAATTACGACGATTTGAGGAACAAAAAAAAGTTTGGTCGTTTAGCCAAGTTAAATGTACATTTGGAAACGTCAAATACATTTTTTGTTGCTTCCAAAGTTTCCTTCGATGGCAAGGGGATTGGAGTTGGACCTTGTGCTTTGGAGAGGTGACCAAAGTTATGTTTAAGGAGGGAAAGAAATTTTTTCACCAAGCGACGCGGAGCTTTTCTCGTCGATAAGGGATTTTTTTTAAAAGGACATTTTTTCGTAAAAAAAATATTTAATAAAATTGAACAACCTAATGTCCAAGAAAATTTAAAATTTTACAGTATTAACTTGAAACAATGGAATCCCAACAGAGTATGGGGAGTTAAAAAAAAAAAAGAAAAAAATTATTGAATAACTTTTGTTTGCAGGTAACCATATCATTTGTCAAAAATTTGTCACGCAGTAATTATATTTGTCTCTTTCAAGTGTTAGTGTCGTAATAAAACAATCATAACCTTTGCTTTGACGAAACGCTTTCAACATGTGCAGGTAGTGTGCAATACAGGAAAGTTCAATTAAATTTTCCAATTTACGATCGAGTTGATAATTAAATTCGTATTACACGTCAATCAACTGGATATCAATTATCGAACCTCATGTCGATTGACTACATTTTGATACTTAACTTTTATTACATTTTGGTGCTCCAATTTAACATTTACATATTCTTTGCAATGCAAATGCGTCAATAGGAACTTTTTGATTAACCGGGATTGGAATAACCAACTCAACGTTGTGATGAAATTTTTTAAAAATTTTTATACACCGTATCAAATATTATTAGCGATACATTAATTTAACAACTCGACGTTGACATAGTAATAATTACCAATGGCTCATAAAATTCTACAAAAAACAGTGTTCAGACCCGTTTTGGTGTAAAAACTAAAGGAACGATTGCATAAAAAAAAAAAAAGAAATGATTCATTAGAAGCGTAGAGTCGCGTATTTTATCTCTCTCCTGAGCTGCAACTGCATCAGCTGCAAGCTCCGCCATTCAAGTGCTAAACGAGACTCCTCTCCTCTCGAGCACCTTCTCAAGATGCTGAAATCGCACGCGCACGTACACATACAGGAGCGAGAGGGGGTAGAAAAAGAAGCAGGACAGCCGACGTTTTTCCCGCGCTGGAATCAACAACGATGTAATAGTTCGGGTACGAGGTTGCCGCACTTTTCTAACTTTATTTCAGCCCGCTTTTAAGAGATTAAAAGTTCGCGCCAGCGGAGAGGAGCAAAATACAAAGCCAACAAAAATTTTTTATATTTCAGCACCCCCCCCCCCTCGAAGCTGGTAAGCACACCCATATACCGTAGGTTAGATTTGCAAGTCCATTAAAACGAGCCGGTGAAAAAGTGATTCATCCGAACGTATGATTCATCGCGAGGACGGAGGGGCTTAACGGGGGTGGTTAATACTCTTGCTTGTTTACTCGGCTTATTACGTATTCAATGGGACCCGCGCGCCGTATATACGATTATTAATGCTGGCATAGGGCCATCGAAGCCAGATCCCAAAGTGATAAACATCGCAGTGGCTTATCGGATGGACGGAAAACTCCCCGTTTATTGCCGAAAGGCGCGTTAAGAGATGTTTAGACGAGATATTGCACGCCTCGGTGATGTTTATCGTTAAAAAATTACCGGGGGGGGGGGGCGAAACGAATGGAGATGTAATAATCACCGTTGTACCTCGTTAACCGAAATAACAGCACGGCACCAATGACACGTGTGATTATAATGTGTGCACGTGTTGGTCGTGTGTGTGTTTATTTTTGTCCCCTCGTTACTTACTTGTGCCCAGCAATTTTCGTTGGTTCGGGCGAGCAAGCCCAGTGGGAAGAAGAAGGAAGTGAAAATCACTACTCCTGGCCAAACGACAGCTCAAATCGCTTGGAAACATGATATTGTATTATGTCTCGGGGGAGGGGGGAAATGGAACTCTTTGAGTTTTTCAGATGATTTCTTTGGCGATTAATCGGATCGCATGCAGAGTTCCTCGGGATACAAACTCCTCGGCAGAGGAACTAATGCGCTTGGAAAGTTTTTTTTTCCTTATCTCATTTTGCATGCGTCCCAACTCTTGGGGGAACTTTAACTTTGGGCGTTATAACGTATCGCTTGGAAATTCCGAGCAGCGAGAGCTGAAGAAACGCTCGAAACTTTTTCCCGAGGATGGATTGCATTTTACATCTGCTCTAATTATACCTGCAACTATTATTATTGTAGGGAACCTTTAGAAAACAGAGCTATTTTTTCGGTGTTCATCGAGGTCGTATGAAGCACTCGTTGGCATTCAATAAGAGTAAATGGAAAAATAATTTTTACCCACCAAAACATTTATTGATAGGAAAACGAAGTCTTTTAATCTTGAAAAAATAGCTATTTTATCTACTAAGTTTACCCTGAATACGAAAGGAAAAGAAAGGCTACGGTAAAAATCCGTGATCAATTTGATCAAAGATACAAAAGAAAGGGCGATACTATCGTTGAAGCCGAAATTCAAAACTCACGCGCTAAGCGGATGAATAATAGCCCAGTTCTATCTTGCACTGCTATCATCTCCATCTCGCGTCCCATAGAGCACGAGCGTTATGTGAAACATGATCTTCACCCACGCGTACGTACGTGTACACAAACGCACGCAACTGATTCCTCGTCGATTATAGTGTCGTGTGCAGGAATGATGTAACACATCGGACGAGGCGACGCAGCGATAATTCAGCCGCTGTTCTAAATCGCTATTGATTTTTCCTTCACCGCTTCTTCTGCTTCTGTTTTTGATTAATCGAGGGATAATAATGGCCCGCGCTTGTTTCACGGGGCATCATGGCGTCGAGGTATCGGCTATCTTGTTTTTAGATGTTTGTCGGTCCGGCCACGCCTGACTGGCGCCATCTAATTGCTTCCCTTTGGCGCCGTACAATACAGTTTCCAAGTGTTTTAAAATTAAATGACTGCTCCTTTAGTTTACTGCGAAAGATTTCGATAAATAATAAAATAAGTGTGCATAATGGGCCGTTGCCCAATCGTGACGACATTGTAATTTTAACAAAAAAATTAAAAGCTTTGTGACTGCATTGTGTATTATAGAAAAATGGACAAAACAAAAAAGACTCTTTTGAGTAAAAGATTTATCGTCAATTTACTTCTACTGCAAGTGCCAACAAGTATAGATGTTGTGTAGTATAATAAACTTACCTTTCGATCCATCAAAGCTCAAGTGGAAGTTTCCTTTCGCAAAAAGAAAAAAATAATAATAATAATAACAATAATCTACGAGGGAAGAAACGATGCTTAAGGCGAATGGAGAAAGCAACAACAGCAGGAGGTAGTATTCAGAAATAAATTTATTACATCATCTCTGTCTCATTGCCGCGTTAAAAAAAGAAAATGAAATAAAAAAGCCAAGGATCTCGTCGTAATTTCCAACCGTCAAGGTTAAACGTGACCAATTGATTAAATATATTTCCTCATGTATTCGTTTGTTTTATAATTTATTTATAGCTATTTATGTGTACCGTTTCAATTTAAGCACATCAGCAGCACGTCCAGCGTAGTTTATCATATACATCGATAAGTTGACACACGTTAAAAACGTCCGTTTCTCGGGCGTGAAAAACGCCAAACCTTGACAAACGAGTCCCCCCGGTATCGGAGATGGACAAAAAAAAAGTCAAGTTATCTCCCTCCCCGGCAGCGTATACAGTACACCCGTCAAGTGCTTGAGACCCAACCACCGCCAACAAGGCGAAAGACAATGACACTCACACACTGCACACTCGCACTTCACTGCAGCTCAATGCTACTGGTAGGCGCACTTTATATATAGATTCCGATCTCGATTGATCGATCCCACGGAGCATCTTGTATTGCCCACAAGTGGGTAGTCACCAGTTGCTAGGTAGGTGTTTCTCGATTCCATTCACCTCTCGAGCCTCGACGACGAGTTTCCCCCTTGGCGTCTTCGTGTCGGCTCTCCTCCCTACTCCCGGGAACCCTTGCTGTACTTTGGACGGCCGCGAATCAGGAGTCTCGCCAACTGGAAGAAAAAAAAAAGCAAACGCTCTGGATTTTTGCATTTTCCCTCCTGCAGATGTGGGTTCATTTTTTTTTTCATCCATGTACCTCCGAGAGTGCCGCGTGAAATTTATGGGCTAATGCGAGATTTCGGTCTGTGCGAAGCCATGCTGTTTCTACTGTTTTCCTCGTAGATTTGTGTTGGTCGGGGATATCATCAGGATGGATTAGTCGGAAAAGTTCGATAATTCTCGTTTTTATTAAAGTGTGGGCGCACATTTTTTTTTGGGGGGGGGGGGAAGGAGGGTTGGTGAGAATCCCGGCGAGTTTGCAAGTTTTTGGGGAGGGGGAGAAAAAAAAAATTGATGGCCCTTTTTTATTTGGGAACCCGAGAGAGTTGGAGTGGTTTCGAAGTGGTACGAGATTACTGTTTGGTTTGGTCTTTTTGTTATTTTTTATTTCGAAAGCCGAAAATTGAATTTTTTTTCCCAAATGATAATTGAATCACAAATAGGTGTGTATATTTATCAATGCGAATAAGCTGAGATTTCATGGTATGGATTTTTGCTTCCACGGAGAGGTCGAGTAATTTCTATTTGAACCTCACGTGAGCCGGAAATTGGACGAGTCTTGAAAACATGCCAGCAAAAAGAGCCGCCGACGAGCAAAGAAAAGAGAGCTGTTAACAGAGAGTTTGGCAAAGACAGCCAAAAGTATATATACTCTGCAATCCTCCGAAAGGGTTCGTGTTTTCCCCACCCCCCGACCACCGAGTATCGATCCACCTGACGGACCACGAGTCGGCCATCACCTTTGACGGCTCTTTTACCGAAAAAAGACAGAGTTATCCTTTACGTATAACGCGTTACCTTTTTTCTTTTTTTTTCTCTCAATAACTTATACGCTCAGTTGTGACATAAACACTTTACAGCTCATCGATCGATGTGCCCTTACTTTTCTCGCACTTACGCATCCCCTCCTGTTTTGGCAGCTGGTGTGTTTGGACCGTAGCATGAAAAATCAATGGCCAAGGCCAAAATTGGTAAGAAAACAGCTCCCTAATGGAAACGTAGGTACGTATATTTCTCGCACCCCGTTGTTTTAAGCTGAAGGGTCGATTTATTTCGCACCCTTGTCGTTTTATGGTGCAATGAATAAAACAACTGTTGACAAAGGTAAGAATAAACAACCCTGTCATTCAACCTTGTGGAAACTTTTTTTTTTTTTTTTTCTTCAAATTAACTACTTGCCCGTCTCAGATGAAACTGATGCATTTCACTCGACTCGTAGTTACGCTACGACACGTGCATTATTCTCTCGGCTCGACGACATCGGAGTGTTTATGCACACCCCAGCGCTGCACCCACTTACCCCAGAAACTGTCACACGAATCATCCAAGTACGTACTCGTGCCCAGAAACAAAGGGACCAGCGCAGCTCCGGATGACCAAATAACTGGAATAATAATGAGACGAGGCCAGCGGGACGACTTCTAGGTGTTGGGGTGTAAAATTTTGTCGCAGTGGTAATTCGCAAAAAATTTTTAATTTACCGATCCATCGTGCTTGTGCATTTGCAGTTGGTTCGTTGCTTAATTTGATAAACTTTTGCATAACCGAAGTAGGGATCAGTTTACTCGATAATGAGAAGTGGTCGCGGTCCAAGGAAACGAAAAAAAAAAAAATAAGCGATCGATTATCGGAAAAAGTTCGATAGCGCATGGACCACGCAAAAATGTATACCCTACACCCCAACATTTTGTTAAGTAGCACAGAGGCAATTGGATTACTCGAAACGCAAAGTGGATTTGCATTTAATTTCGCACAAGAGATTCCACTTGCATTAGCGAAATGCAGACAGCGATGCCAATCAACCGATGCAGTAAAATATATTTATTGCTATTTTCCATGATTTTTATTTACAATACCGATTGAAATGTTGTTGTTTCTTTTTTCTTTCTTCCTTTTTTTTTTTTTTTTAATGAAATTGGTTTTATTCATCTCGTCCCTCTTTGACCGCAAACTCAACGAAAGTAATTTGATCCTGTGAACACTTTTACCTTTGTCACCTCCCTCTTTTTCTCCCGCAACTAATTTCCATTCATTTGACAATTTTATCGGGGAGAAAGAGGAAACGGTTACCACGTTGGCAGGACAATTTAGTACTATCCCCTGGCTCCACACTTTTTTCAGTTCTTTTTTTTTGTATCACTCGAGGACTTTTTTTTTTATTCGAGGTATAGGGTGTCCCCCTTTTTTTTTTTTACTGTCCACCATCGGAGCAGTTAACTCCATATAGACAAGGTAACGAGCAAAAGTGATTGACAGTTTTCATCGTTGTTTTCAAACTTTTGCAAAAAGTGCTTTTACGCGGAAAGAAAGCCAATTATGAAGGATATCGATAACCAGTATAGGTGGAAGTAAGGGCACAAGAGAAAAAAAAGAAAGCTATATTGAAGAGAAACGAATTTTGCGAAGGTAATCGATTGGCAATCAGAGTAGGCCTATAAAGGCCCCTAGCTTTGAAAGCGTCCAAACCTCGATTGAAATTTATCACCGAATTTTCTTCCCTCGAACGCGTCCCGGAAACGAACAGCCTTTTTTGGGATTCGCCTCGTTGCACCTGTATATGTATACATCCAGTAGAAAAAACTGTTTCTATCAGCCGTCCTGCGTACACACATGTGTAGGGTCAACAGATTTTCGCCCCAGATTTTTTTGTCGTTCCGGCAGGTTTTATGCTCCTTTTCCACGTATTGCTCGGAGACTCCGCCGATATTCCTTTAGCCATAAAACGAGTTTGAGTCTCGCGGGCGATGTTTAGTTTGGGAAAACGACCAATTTTTCAGCACGAGGTTTGAAAAAGCAATCAGAACTTTTATTTTTATGGGAATCTTTTAACACTGCAGTGCACACGTGGATATAAAATTCAACTTTTAGTAGATGTTCTTTTGTTAATTAATTTTTATCACACCGCGGTGATACGCGCAATAAAAATGCGTCAATAGCGAGTTTTAATCAATTGAAATTAAAAAAAATAAAAGCAACTCAAAGACATGCATGAATGCATTTTATTTCCCGTGCTGTTGCTTGTTTGTAATTGAGAATGAATACAGTCATGGCTTCATTAATTAAACAAGGGGCTTGATATATTACAGTTAATTAAATTAATATCGAAATAACTTGTTTCCAGAGAATTAATATAGTTTGTTCCACTGATGCTTTTATGTGCAAAAACCAAAAAAAAAAAAAATTTATCAATATTCTGCGCATTTCAATCACGTTTCATCCACTTTATATACATACCTACGTATTATGGTTTCGTAAACTCATACAGGGGAATTTCCCCGCGCTTCCATTTTAATTTCATTATTGTACGCAGTAAAATAAAACTTTCCCCCCCCCACGCACTTTAATAATGTGTTATTAAAAATTTTTCATCATAAAATTCTTCTGTGCAAAATATGCGAAAAAATTTATTTGAAATAATACATGGATGATATCAACACACCCCCACAAAGTCATTCAATACCTCTTGTGTTCAAGTAAAATCTAAATACCGAAAAATGAAAAGAAAAAATGTCATCGTTATTGTCGCAAAACATGTATACGCAAAAGACAAAAACGAGCGTTCGATTAAAAGCATCCGCTACACCGAAATGTCAAAGTACGGTCGCGCTGTTTGAAATGAAAATTTTTCTCCTCTCCACGAAAGCTTCCACAACTTGGAAAAAGAGTCCTTTGTTTTTTTTGTGCTGCTGTTTCTTTATCTCGGCAAAAACGAAACAAAAGTATGTGTAATTATTCTCCCTCTGAAAAACTATCGGGGATGAAACTTTCATTGTATGGAGACATCTCAAGCCGAACGTAAAGCGACTGGGAGTAGTCAACTCGTCCCGATTTATTTTAAAAGCACAATCAATACGGTAGACATTACTCGATGATCCAACGTGGACGGAAAAAACAAGTCACAAAAAAATGACTTTATCCTCCAAGGGCTGTTTTATGTGCAAGACGGTGCAAGATATTACATCGACGGTATTGTTTACAATGTCCCATTTTCCTTTCGATTGGCACACAGCACCCTCCGGATTACTAAGAAAAAAAATTCTTCCTTCCAACCGTAAGCTACAGCAACACCATACGAGAACGAAACGAGAGAAAATCGGAAAAGCCAAGCGATTCTCGTCAATCGTATACACTTTTCCGCAGAAAGAGAGAGAGAGGAACGTACAGCCGTGGCCACCCTAATCCAAACATTGTTCCCTCGCACCCCTAACGGAGCGACAAATGGATTGTACAGCGAATAAAGAGAGACACGGCCAATGGAAAAGCTACACGGTGGAGATAGGCAGCATCGGCGTGTGTGTACGCGGCGGTAAAATTGTCTCGTAGCCCCTGCTATTGACATTAAGCGGGTGCGCCAGAAAGGGCCAATAAATTTGAACCCCTGGCGTCAACTACAGAGGACTCCCTCCCCAACCCCCTCCTCCTCCTCCTCCTCCTCTGTATAAATACACGTTTTGCCTACTATATGTATGCGTATGGTATGTACAAGGGGGGGAGGCTGTTGTTTATATGTACGAGTGTCTCAAGGCTTTTGACGAGATGGCTTTCTCACCCACTCGCGCGTCCCGTAGAAACGACAGGGAAGGTGTGTGCGTAAGTTTTTTTTTTTCTTTTCCATCAAAGGGCTCTGGCGCCGGTTTTACGGGACACACGGGATATTATGTGCCCCCTGCCCTTGCTTTCATTCCTTGTTTCGTGGCGCTAGATGGATATAAGGGACTCTTGGCGAAACAAGCGGGGATGATTTTTAAGGCCGCGCGCCGATGTATACGATTCCACTACTGGCGAAGACGAACGACTCGGGTGTATGATTTCGCAGCTCGAATACGATAAATATACCGTGGGGTAAAAATCGCGGGGTGCAATGAACCGATAAAAAAAAACTTATGTACTTTCAGTGACATTAACACCTCTTACGGTATACGCAAAGTGACGACACGTCGAGGGCACACACCAGCCCAATTAAAAAGCAGATCGAGGCACTTTACCAGCTCGATTTCCGTGTAAACATTTATCTTGTTATCTTGAATTTCCGTCCCATCAAACGACACCGGATGGCTTTCATCGGAGTTCCACCCCCCAAACTATGGCTCTCCCATCCTCGTTTCGAATCGAGTTCCCGCTCGACACCATCCGCACCGCAGCGTTGTTGAATCCAAGTACAAACATATACCCAACTACATACACACCTCTGGGCGCGCTCGAGCAAGAGATCGCAAGCAAGCAACAGAACAAAGGGTGTACTCACCACCTAGATGATCTGCCCGGAGCTGGGTATCCGCGTGGTCCTGGTCTGTAGATGGTTGTGCTGGTCCTGGTTGGTGGTGTCGCGGCAGTACATGGCCTTCCAGAACGCCTTGCGAAAGTTCTCGCTCAAAAAGGCGTACAGTATGGGATTGACGCAGCTGTTGGCGTACGCGAGCACGTGCCCGAATATCTGGAACCATATGGTCGCCGTGTTGTGCGGGTAGACTTCCAGCGACTTGCACACGAGGACGATCTACCGACATGAATGGTCATTTTCATTTGTTTGTTTTTTTTGTTGTATATTTAATTCCCCCCCCCCCATCGCAATGCGGAAAATTTCGTTTTACTCCCCCCGTGGCTTGATCTGTCGCACGTGACGATACATTAATTCTCTCTTTGTGTGTACTTGGAAAATGTGTTTCCTCCTCCAAGAGGGATTATCTTCACGAGCAGCGAGCAATTTACGTTTATTTTTATTTTTATTTTTATTTTTTTGTTTTTCACGAGGTAAAAAGAAAAGGTTGAAAAATTTCAGTAGTAATGTCGCTCATTGGTCAGACGAGCGTTTAATATTTCAGTGCGCGGTTAGTTTCGCGATAACCGAGGAAGCGGAGGGTCCGGACCGCTCTCGTAATTACACCTCGTCTCTGATGTTTCCACGTTTATCGTCTAATTAGTTAAACTTCACCTATGCTGCTGCTGCTTCGAATGTTTATTTTGGCCCCACTGAAAGGCCGCAGGATAAATCGAGCGTACAAAATGTAACATAGTCACGGCAGTCCAACGGTATGATATTAATCAGGGGCACGCGTGCACGACGTATAGGTACCCCTAACGAGACGGCCGCGTGAATAACGAATGGGTGTGTTATTCGTCAGAGTAACTCTCCTTTGGCTTATGACGCAGGCCAACAAAATGAATAACCACGATAAAGGAAGACGGTGTATTGTTCATGCATCGATTATTTATACCCATCGTCACCCATGAATTGTTCACCACGGCCACCACCAAAGAAGGGGATGAATAAATATGGGGTGTATACCTGAATGGGGGCCCAGCTGAAGGCGAACACGCCAACGACAACGGCGACGAGGCGGGTGACCCGCTTCCGGCCCCTGAGCCCGTCCGCGCTGATCCTCGGCGCCTGCCACAGCCTCATCAGCATACCCAGGTACAGGCCGCCGATGAGCAGCAGGGGCACCAAGTAGCTGGCCAGAAAGAATATCCACTGGAAAACCGGCCAGTCCCTCTCGTCGAGGATCCGACAGGCCGTGATAAGCTTGAGCTCGAGCGGAGCCACGCTGTTGCTGCTGTTGATCCTCGCCGGCCTCGTGGGCGTAGGCGCCACCACCCTCCCGCTGTCGGACAACAGTGTGCCGTTCCTCGCCTCAGACAACTCGGGCTGGCTGTAGGCCTGCGATCGTTTGGCTCTTGTTACTTTTCGTGCTCACCGTCGTGGTTATTGGGGTGGGCCTCGAACGAGGCGTTAATATTGAAGGGTACTTTGATGATGCCGGAGAGAAGAAAAAAAACCTTCCTCTTTGTCGGGGTACCAGGGGTAAATGGGATTTTCAAAAGTGCATGCGTTGTTGCTCGCTCCGAGGTGTATCCTTTTTTTACGATGATGCATGCATTCCTGAAGCGAGAACGCTCGTAACCCGCGTTTTTAATTAAAACATGTTTTCGTCTTCCTTTGCAGTGGAACACGTACTCGAAAACTCAAATGTTGTACCTTTACAATGGAAAATTCAACGCGGGTTATCTGAATTTTTTACATCACAAACGAGTAGGGACGAGCCAGTTGAAACGAAAGCTCGAAAACTGCAAGGGGTTTTTTTTTTTAATTTCCACGCGAGAATGTTACGTAATGGTGCAACTTACCTCGCTGACCTCGCCGTGGATCATGAACACGGGTATCGACACGGTGAGGATGATGAACCAGACGATGCAGATGGCGACGATCGCGTGGCCCTCCGTCCTCACGGCCCTCGAGCTCACCGGGTGCACGACCGCCAGGTACCTGTTTGGACATACACGATGTGTCATTCGCGTGCAGCTGGTGATTTAAAAACTATCGGAAGCGCGTCCATTGTCCATCCCTTGACATCGAGAGCCGCTAATGCCTCTCTGGGCATGAGGACGAAAAAATGCGGGGCTAAAATCGGTGGTTAAGCGATTTATAAAACCAAGGGTGTTTCGTCATTCGGTCCGATACGCGAGACGTGGATAAATGGTCGAGTGGGCTCTCGCGCTGATGGATTCGATTGTTCGGTCGGGATAGCCGTGGGAGGTGTACAGCGGTGGAAGGAGACTTTTATCGGAAGCTGTGGTTTCGGGCCGCGTACGTGCAACCTTTGGAGTGCCAGCTGATGGGAGAGACAAAGAGAAAGGGGACGATGTGGGGACGTGGCATTGATGTTTGTCGACTGAAACGAGGTGGAGGAGGGAGGCTTATGGTAATTAAATCGATCTGGACCGGGATCGCGCTGTCCTTTTGGGGCTTATTTGGATATGTCGTGAGTTACCAGGGGTGGGTTTTCTGATTTTTTTTTATCATTATTTTTTTGTATTTTAGAGATTAGATTGTTTGACTCACCCGAAATTCTGTTGGAAACGAGTATCTCTAATTGTACCTACTACAGCACAGGGGGTGGGACTTGTAGCTAAGACTTTGAAAGACTGACTTTTGTTTAATCACTCGGTTTTTTTAAAGTTCGGTACAGTTGCGTTGGTTTGAAACAGATGCGATCTCGTTCCAAGTTGTTAAAAGTTGGATGATTTTACGCAGGTTAGTTTAAAACAACGTTTAATAAATTTATCTGAAAAGTAAGTAAGTTTTTGACGCGTGCCTTTTGAAAATTTAATTTTTCGATATCCCATTACTGAAAAATGTTGAAATTCATTGTAGAAGCTGCGAACTGGATCTTTGGAAATTTCTTGATTAACCTTTCACGGAACACGTGACGCGGTAATTGCTCTCGTGTGCCAACGTTGTACGTAGTCGAAGAGCAGCAGAGGAAAATTTTTTAATATCAGGGACCCGGCAGATCACACGTATGCGAGGAAAAATCCAGTCTCTCTCTCTCTTTTTTTATTTTTTATTTTTTTCATCGGCAAAATGACATCAGAAATGGATATGTATTTGATCATACCTTGGGGCTGAAAAACATCAATAATTAAATCCTTGCAGCTATTTCAATATCTTGGGGTTTCGTTAAATCCGGAAAAATACATGGAGTAAAATCATATCGAGGGGGGGGGGGGAAAGCTCAACAATGGCAACCCAAAAACAAGAGCTCTATGGGCTCGTAACTCTTGACATCCTCATATGCGAGTAGCGAAAAAAGAAAGTGGTTGGACTAAAGAAAAAGAAAAAAAAAAGAAGAGATCGATGCAACAACTGGTACAACGTAAAAGTTTTTCCGTGTACATACATTCTCACTCGCACACACAGCTTTTCATTCGTAGGGGCATTGAAACCGGTCCCGTCTTTGATATTTCAGGAAAATGATAACGAGTACCAGGCGTTTCTTTCCCCAGCTTTCATTTTTTTCCCCCGCGCGCACCATTTCACGCTGCTACAGGCTTTTCATCCCGGCGTGCACGAAGGTATGCGTTTGTGCTTGATTACGTCGCTTCTGGATACATTTTTCTTCCTCCTCTCATCCTCTTCAAAATAAAAGCAAAGTGTCTTTTTTTAGATTCATACTTAACATTTCTATCGGAATAGTAGCAATACTATAGGGTAGTGTTTAGCACAAAACGATGATTAGCCAAGTTCATTGGATGATGCAAATTTTACTAGAATATACATGGGTAACATGGAAATTGAAAATAAGTTAACAACGATCTCATGTTCCAATAATTCAAAATTAGTTTTCATTGTTCATGCTTGGAGGAAAGCAATACGTTTTAAATCGACAAAATTCAGATCCGTCAAAGTCAAAGTAAGTTATTATTTTTTATCAATTCAAACAAATACTAAACTGTAGTTTACTTATTTTTAATTGCAATGAAAAACGTTAATCCCCAAATTTTTGTTTTTACTTGAAATGTCAGAAGCTTTTGCGATTAAAAATAACCTTCAACTCGATAAAAAAAAAAATACTTTTTTCTGGCAACGGTATTAACGAGCACGACCTAAATTTTTTCATCGAATCAAAATCTTTTAAAGCTCGAGTTACGTGGATAAACCGTGGGATTCACGAAAGCTGAAAAATTTTTCAATTAGACGAAAAATCATACATCCTCCTTTTAGCTGTTGAACCTCGAAAGATGTTTGTTTTTCGCCGCGTAATGCAACAAATATGGGTATAAAAAATGTTCACCTATGGCTTACGCCCTTGATAAACGAGCCCGTTTCATCCAGACCGGCAAGGCTTTTCGGGAGATTTTTCACGAATCACCACAACCAGAACAATCGCGAATAGAAAAGAGCGGCTTTGCATAGCAAAGTATGTAAATCGTTGCCATTGTTGACGCACACAAACCCACACCGATGTTGTACCAAGTCACGCGTATGGTTCAAAAAGAAAATAAAACTTCTCGTCCGCAGCATCTCCTCCGAAAGGATTTCGCGCACTGGTCAATCAAATTCACCCCCCTTTCCCAAAAACAACCCGATCGCGGAAAAATCGATAGGAGTAGCAGCACATCGAGCGATTTCCATAATGTATTCGGAGCACGCGTGCGAGGATATACTCGCGCGGCCGATGAAAAATTCGAGCAAACGCTCTTTAATGACGCTGTTTCCCATTTTCCGTCACGCTCGCGAATCATTCAACCCCCCGCGAGAAAAATCGTTAATGACTCCACCATTGACTCGCTTAGCGGAGTTATTTTTTTCCCCCAATTTTTGGGCTCAGCCACGTGCTTCCCGGTCGAAATGCACGAGGATTCATCGAACCGCTACTCAGGGGTCGGGGTATAATCAAATTAATTAGTGTATCGCGTCCAGTTGGCGCAGAAGTAGCTGTTGCACCGCGTAAGGCCTCCCCTGTGGAACATTGCCATTATCCGGCCTCATCTCGGATTACAAACTATTCGCGGGCAGGAGATAGATATAGAAACGGGCGCCAGGAGGGAAGGATCGAGAATTAAGTTTCAGCGCGGCTGATCCTCGTATTGGATTTCCGTCAGGCGAGCTCGTTTCGTTGGTGCGTTAACGCGAACGTGCACGTATGGTACAGCGGGTGATTCCTCTCGCGCGAGATAAAAGTTGCGTTTATCCGCTTATACACACCGGATGAGTTAAGGGAGAGGTGGTGAAATTGGCGTTTCGAGCGGTTTATCTCGAGTTAAGCGCTGTTTTTCCGTTTACATTTCCACGAAGCCGAGAGAATTCAATCCAGCCCCAAGGGGGGAAAATTCAGGGTGTTTGGCGCGTTCTTTTGCTTCTCTCTTGTTTTTTTCTTTCAAGAAGTGACTGGTATACCTATACTCCTACACTACAGCGAACGCGTATATCTGCTATTTTGCATTTCACACCGAGACCTATTTTCGTGTACCTGAATGGATAAGGACTTTGTAACGAAGCGAGAGGAGGTCCATAAGTTGAATATCGGTTTCCATTTCGGGTCTCGGAGGCGCACCTGGATAATTTCATCAGAGTCGTTGGGGTGAGTTAAACAGTAGCTGCCTTTGCCACGTGTGGAAAAAACAGGGGCACAGCTTATAAATATATACGCTCGCGTGGGAGGGATTTAATTGAACGGGTGTAAGCGCGTACGACGCGGAGTTTTTTTTCCCATTTGCGGTCCTGCGTTTGGAAATTCTTATTATCGTTTTTTTTTTTTTTTTTTTTAATGGAAATCGCGTCGAGAAAATTGAATCACCCTACGGAAGAAAATGTTTCCCAAATGTTTTTTTCTTTTCTTAATTAAAATCTTTGATGATGTTTCGCGATAGGAACGAATGGCACGTTTTTAGAGTAAAGTGTCCACAGCAGCGGTACGCTGTTTACCGAGCAAACCGTGGCGCATACTTGATACGCTCCGGGGGAGTGTAGAGAGTGGCAAAAATTTTCTTCACGCGCGAGAGCTGCTAAAAAGATTAAGATTACGCGGCAAACAAACATAAATGAATGTATGCATGTCTCATTATTTTGAGGTAACGAAATTAATTTTCTACGGGTTTTCCAAACGTTTTGCAGTAAATTTACAAAAAAGCGCTTTTCCGTACTTACAAAAAGTAGTTTAATATTCAGAAGTTATAACACGAATTTATTGAAGGATGAATAATGCGATCGAATTTTTTTTAGCTCCATATTGGCTTTATTGGCTTTACATTCCCCGCAATCTTATCCTCTCCCGAAAGGCAACTTCGACAAAAAAAAAAAAAAAAAAAAAAACAACCTTTTCGAGACCCTTGTAAAAATGGGCAGGTCCCAAGTATGAATTTCAAACACACTGTTTCTGCGTCGTGATCGTAGTCAAGGGGTAAACAAGGTCAGCTGGAAAATCAAAATTTATCCGAGACGCGCTACCGAATTTTTCACGTGTAGACGCAAACACACAATTCTTGCGAATCTCCTAAGAGGGTCTCTACGCGGCAAGTGTATTAGGTGACGTAGCTCCTCGTGCGAGCAGAAAAATTATTACCCGAAAGGAGCTACGAAAATTTCAAAGATGCTTTTTCCGAGACTCCGTACCTTTGGGACCGAAATTTTCGTCTCTCCCGCGTGCCCGCAGGGATGGGTAAGAGAAATTTCGCAAGCGCGCAAAAAATTCAAGCTCGACAAACTTTTTTAGCTTAAAACTTTTACTCTCAACTTTTTTTTAGTTTCCTTGAGCCAAAGTAAAAAGAATATCTACATTCTCTGCGGAGCTTTTTTTTTAAAAAAAAAGGGAAGATTGTTTCTTCAAAAAAAATACCGATTCAGTTAATGCACAGAAATGCTGCTTCGTTGCACTTTAACGAAGCTTTTCGTGCTGATACCCAAGGCACGTGGAAAAAAAAAAACATTTCACCATCCCAAAAGATTTTTGTTGTTCTTCCACGTAAGAAATGGTCCAAAAATCGAATATTAATATAAAGTGTCGTGACTACGTTTTCCTTGCCCTATAAATACACCCAAAGGACACTGAAATCCCCAAGCTACACGTCCATTGACGAACATCGAAACACCATGAAACTTGGCAACACACCAACGAGAACTCACCTGTCGAAGCTCATGAGCACGAGGGTGTAGACGCTCGCGCAGGCGGTGACGATAATGAGATACTGCACGCACTTGCACCACACGTTGCCGAAGGGCCAGTACGGCAGAACAAAGTCCGTGCCCGTGAAGGGTATGCAAAACATGACGAAGAGCAAATCGGCCACGGCCAGATTGATGATGAGTATGTTGGTGGTGGAGCGCATGCTGGTGTTGAAGGCGACCACGGCGACGACGAGGCTGTTGCCGATCAGCCCGACGAAGCCGATCAGGCCGAACATTATCGGCACGATGATGCTCACGTACTTTTGGACGACCCGGTCGAGCTCGGCCGCTTCGGTGTCGGTGCCGGTCGCGCCGTCGATGACGATGTCCCCCTCGATCGCCGTGCCGTTGTCGCTCTGCTGCAGCAGCATCGCTTGCCGCTCCAGCTGCATCTCGCGGTTCCACGGCTGGCGGGCCCGGGGCTCAGGATTCGCGTGTCATCGCGGGGGTGGGGGTCGTGGTAGAGGTGACGGGCAAACGGCCGGCGCTGCTGCTGCGTATGCATGCAGGACTGCCCGTGATACCGATCGTCGTTTGTCAATGCGGAACTGTCGTTTTTGTCCTTTTAGCTATTTCCGCCGTTGGAGTTTACTATAACTGTGCTGCGTTGGATCGAACACTAGTGCCGAGGATGGATTAATGGACGATTTACCTCATCGTGTACAAATTGGTATTACAAGCAGGAAAATTTAACCGAGCACTGTAATTTAATTGGTAGCAAGCGAATCAACTTTGAAACTAAAACGTTTCCATGTTGCTTTATTTTTTTGTGGATGACAATTTTTTTTTTTTTTTTGTAACTTTTTTAAATTCAATGAAAGTTCTCGTTACACCCGAGCAATTGATTTATTCTTGTGATCATTTTCACTTACAATTTATCTCAAATCACTAGTGATTTTTACCGAACATTGAGTAGTTTACGATTTATATCAAAGTTTTGACATACCTTGTTTCGATATTCAACTTTCGTTTGGAATCTTTTAACAAAATTTACAACTACAATTTTTCATCGTCAGTGATTTATTAAATTTTGCACTCTTTGATAAGTGTTACAAACATACAGTGTCGATGTCTCGTTTTGTTTCTAATAAAATTGTAATTTGGAGAGAATCATCAAAAGCTCAAATTCATCCAATCACTCGCACTCAACTTTACTTTTCATTAAAATTTTCATTCACGCGATGAATTGTAGAAGAAAGTTATTTGCTTTTGTTCCGATGGATCTGTGACTGTAACATTACAGGAACCAATGTGAGAACTTGCCTATGCTACACGTACAAAAAGCTGTTTTCGAAAATACTTTCATCCCCACTGACGAGTCAAGGTATAACCAAGACGTGCTTACAGGTTTATCATGCCACAAATGTAGTTTATACTCTAAAACAAAAAGACATACGTCCCTGCAAAAACACACGTACGGTATTATTGTAAAATTTTGTCGTTTTACATCGGCAAGGAACTATCTAGAAACTATCGTTTTGCAAAAACTCTGAGAGTTAGAGAGGCAACGATAACAGCAACAACAATCATTCCGCTCGTAACGTACTATGGCATTTTTCCTTCTTGACATTCGCCGGCTTCCCACGCCAACGTGATCATGTCACCGCCAACGAGCACATTTATAATTTTGCTTCCTTCACGCGACAATAGTTAAAGTTCCAAGAGAGAAACAAAAAAATAGGGAAATTTAGCAACTGATACTCCTCTGATGCGTGCAAAACGCGCGTGACGTTTGAAACGGAGGAGGGTGTCGCGCGCTCGCCCTCCGCGGTGGAGATCGCGGCACGACTGTCGCCCCGTTGGCCGCCCGGCATATCAAATTTCGCTCTCCCGACTCGTGTGCTGCGCACCCGGAGTTGCGCTCGAGGGTGGAAAAGCCGCCCATGCTTTGGAGAGCTTTTCTTCGGCGGTGGTTTGGGCCGCTACTCCTAGAGACACCTGGGGAAGCGATGCGGATGCTGTTGTGCATGTGTTTTATCAACGGGTGGACGTGTTTGGTCGATTGGTCATAGGAAGCTTTTCGTTGGAAGTTAAATTTGGAATTTTTCCCTTTGGGCTGTTTGCTGGTACGGTAGGCTTCTTATTTTTCTCACGGATTCGGGACTTTTTTTAAACTTTTCATTTGGGAAGCATCTACATACCTTTAAATTTACTTATGCACAGTTGTTTAATGTGAAACGTGTGAATTAGCATAAAGTATAGATTTCGACTCTTGACATAATAGTAACAGCAGTGAGTATTTAAATTTAAAACTTTTGTTAAATTAACGAGAAAAAATTGTTAATTGATACTTACTTGAAAAAGCCTCCGAATCATTGACGTAAAAAAGTACTGCTAATAAAATAGCAAAAGCAATTCTGCTTACTTTTGGCAGTTTACACCTACAATACGTCAAAGTAGATACATTACAAATGAGTTCGCATAAAGGCTATCAAAATATAAATGGTCAAGTTAAAGACCAACTAATACTTACATCATGTCTTTACTTTTTTTCGGTATAAAACGAGACGAAACTCCTTTCAACTTCTGTATTCGATGGTCAACTTAATAATTAATAATTAAATTGATTTTTTAATGCTAATAAAAAATGATTTGAAAAAATAGCACAAAGAAATATTTGAGTGAGCTTGAAAATATTTTGTTGAAATAAGCCTAACTAATATATTTGTGGATTCGCAAAAAAAAGAATGTGATAGAAAACGAGATCAATGTAGTAACTCTTTTTGTATCGATTTCTGTACCTTACACTTATAAAAACCGCGGGAATTATAATGAGTGCCACTACAAGGAGACTCAACAAAATATCCAAACTAATGGTTACTTCCGAAATGAGGTATATTCAAAGATTAAGTTAATTCATAACAAAATTAGGACTATTTCTATCAAATACAGAAGTAATATTTTTATTAGGAAATTTTATTGCAACTTTATTGACCCAACATATTGCATCATGAGTATAAAACATTGTTACGAAATATGATAAATTACAATTTCTCTTCATTGTACTGATTTATGGTAAATAAGAGTAGATTTCGTAACTGTACATCATAAAACAAGTGAAACAATTTTGTTTGTGGTTCAAGTACTTTGATAAATATTATATTTGATTATCATTTCTGTGAAGCAAAATTAAATTAATTTTGTTATCAAAGCGTTTATCTTCATAATTATATTTATCAAATATTATTTTAGTATGTTTTAACATTGGTAAAATGAAGAGTACTTATAAAAAAAATATTGGCAGGTACTTGATACTTTTTAAAATCTTAGTTGATAGGTCATAAAAACTTTAGTATTGTCTAAATCTGATTTCAATGTCATACAATAAGTATTGCAATGTCTCTTCTGTCGTTCCAACCCAAAAACTTCACTCCGTGTTTTTAGGCGTTTTTTTTTCTGATTAATAGTGTCGAGTTCTTTCTCAAAACCATCGATAGCTTCAACATCGATGCCATGGTGAGTCTTGTTCTTATGCTGAGGAGGTATCACTGGCATCGCTACAGGTTCTTCTATTTAGGGTAAATTTTTTTTTTTTTATTGTCTTATTTCAATATCAAAGCTTTCATTAAGCTTTAGTTGAAAAAATAGTCGTGCAGTCAACTTGCAAATCAATCAATGTGCCATTGAAGCGAGAGTAAATTTTTTTTTTAAAGTTATGCAACAATGACTAAAAAATATTTTTTTCCATGGGCACAAGGTGCAACTGCTGCTTTACGCCCTTTTAATCACTTCGGGCCCATGGACATAAAAGTTTTTGCCATTCTCCGAGCCCAAAGTACTTCTCAAAGTGATTTACTGGGCTCAATGAGTTCCTACTCCCGCAAAACTCCACTTTGCACCCTCAATAAGAAAAACAATACTTAGACGCGACTCGGGCAGAAGCATACAACAATCCCACCCTTTTGGCGAAATTTTTTTACTTTGCACCCATGATACGAAAAAAACAACTATTTTCTACTTAGAGGAACCACGTCAAAAAAATATTTCGTAAAGTTCCCAACATCTTGATAAATAAATAAAGTTGAAATACTGAGAAACCAAATAGTAATGGAGAAGAAAAAAAATTACAGAGAGGGGACGAGTCATTCATGCAAAAGGTGTTGTATTAACTAATAGAAATAATAGAGCACAAATGTGAATAGGATTGGGTGTGAAATTCTTACCTGGTTGGCTTTTTTTTTGGCAAGTTGGATATCTATTATACTTGGACATTACACATTCCTCGTCCGGGAAGCATCTGATATCCTCGCATGTTCTGCCGATTTCTAGGGAATAATTTTATTTTTAATGACCAAAAAAACAGTACATTCCGTTACCATGGCACAACGTACTAGTATGAGTGTTTGTGCCCGAGTCGCGTATGTCGTTTTTCTTACCGATAGCGCAAAGTCAAATTTTGCGCCCTTAAATATCCTTGCACTCTCGGAAAGAAAAACGACTTTCAAACCTCGGGCACAAGCATACGACAATCCCGAGATCCCAAGATTTTTTTACTTTGCGCCTATGGTAAAAAAAACAATTATTCTTTGTCTTTAAAAAAATTTTTAGGCCTTTTTTTCTTTATCGGCATTACACAATAACTACATGCAATTTTATGAGTGCAAAAATTTTTCTATAGGTGAAAATTCATTGATTAGTACTTACTGTTATAGGCATCAGCAACAGTGGCGCAAAAAAGTATTCTTAAAGTAATAATAACAATCCAATAAGCCAGTACTTAAAGCTTCATCTTTTTTTTTTTTTTTTTAACATGTAGACGTATTTATTGAAAAAAAATTTTATTTCTTTAATTGTGAGCATTTAAACTGTACATTGCCCACATGACAAATCATTGAAAAAATATTACTTAAGAAAAAAAGAACCACCAGAAGTTTATCACAGAAGAGTGTACTACGATACTTTAGAAAAAATGTTTCCAGCGTGCTTACTCGATACGAAATTTTCGTCCATAACATAGCTCCACGAGAAAACAAAACGTTACAAATGTCTACTGCTCTTTTGTTTAAAAGTTAAGTAAAACATCCAAAATATATTAATTGAACTTTTTGCGTTTTCACCTCGACTGCATGAAATTAAAAAACACACGTTACAATCGAAACGAAACGCAACACTTTTGTAAATGTATTTATACGTATAAGAGCGCCATACGTACCTTTACACCGTACTGGTATGAATTTATAACGAAGCGAAGAACTTTTCTGTGATTATTGTAATTAAGTAGGAACTCTCGTGATGGGTGAGAGAAGTATCGCGAGCCTCGTCCTCTCGCATCCGTGCCTCAAGCTCATCTACGCAAATTTCTGCTCCCTTCACTTTCTCCCATATCCCTCTCTCTCTATTAGTTTTTACTTTTTGTAATATTTTTGTAATGTTTTCTTTTTACTTTACTTTTCTCTAACGAATTTGTTATATCTTATAACTACTATTATTTATTACTATTACTTGATTTAATGTCTTTACTTTTTTTCTATTACAAACGAGACGANGCGCACGATCGGTATACCGCGAGCGCGCAAGCACATACACGTACACAAGTGCGAAACGCAGCTTACGAGTGTAAGTACAAGCTGCAGAGACAAGAAAGCGAATAAAGAGAGATTCCTCTATCTAGTACCCGCTGCAGCTGGCTTTCTCTCTCTCTCTCTCCCTCTCGTGTATTTATTCTCTATATTATATATATTTAAGTTATAAGCAATTTTATGTATTAGAGCGCTACCTGCTCTAACCTTTGTCAGCTTGTACCTAGCTCTGGCTATTATGGACCCTGAGTCCTTAGCTATTTAATAAAAATCTAATCTAATCTAATCTCTCTTCTCTATTCCCCCACGTAGTGTATGTGGCGTGTTATTTTCGTTGAGTGCAATGTGCATTCTATTTAGAAGGAAAGAAAATTCTACGTGTAAGAAAAAGACTCGTGACAAATAAAAGAATGTCGCACAACATCCTGTGCTATTCGTCCTGGCCCTCCTGATCCATCCTGCGTTCGTCAATGTTTATGTGGATACGTATCCATAAAAACTCCCAATACAAGTAAATCTTATGAAAGTTTTGAGAATATTATATGTACATCCTAATAATGTCAAATAATTTTTATTAGGAAATTTTATTGCAACTTTATTGACCCAACATATTGCATCATGAGTATAAAACATTGTTACGAAATATGATAAATTACAATTTCTCTTCATTGTACTGATTTATGGTAAATAAGAGTAGATTTCGTAACTGTACATCATAAAACAAGTGAAACAATTTTGTTTGTGGTTCAAGTACTTTGATAAATATTATATTTGATTATCATTTCTGTGAAGCAAAATTAAATTAATTTTGTTATCAAAGCGTTTATCTTCATAATTATATTTATCAANAAGAAAATACCAAGTTCGAAAAAATTATTTATTATCGGTCCACGTACCACATAAATGCTCTTCATTTAATTTAATGACATCCATATTAAATAAAGCATTAAAGTTATATTAAATAAATTACGTAGTTGATGTGAAAGGTTTTTAAGCTAACGATGTGATTTAAGAATTCGAAATTAAATTATATCAGACGTATCACATAACTTTCTGGGCCTGAAATCTCTTTGAAGTTCATTCAATCGGTAGCTTCGTATTATACGCAGATTGAAAAGTTCCATTGCTAGGAGATGTTAATTTTAATAATTGCTTCCTCCTCTCCCAGGAATAAGCACTTTTACGGGAAATATTAAAAAAGGAGAAAATACTAAAAATTTTTTTTGCCTAACGATCTGTATATTACTATTATTTTATACCCTTGATTGCGTGCTTCGCTTTAGTGGTTCATAGTGGATGTGTTGGTTGGGTGTATAGCTGTTGCTATTATATTCAAGGCGTAATTTTACCTGATATCAATTTGCGGTACACAGCATTTTTTTTTCGAATGTTCCAAAATGGAACTGAATGGGATTTTTGAAAGGTTTCTTTTTGGAAGGGGTTTGTATATTTGTAAATACAGGTTTTGCGTTCAAGATCATAATCTCTTAATATCTGTTAATATGCGTTATGCATATGTGCTTAATATCCCTTAATATGTTGAATGATTCTTCTCTTCTAAAGGATATATGTTCTTGCTTGGAAATTTAGGCTATAATTGATATTTAGGCTTTCATACCATCAATCATCGGTTGTAATGCCTGAAACTGACCGTGAAGTCCGTCATTCTCGGCAGTAATGCTTACTGCTGATGTATGAAATATGAATGACGTGAGAAGTTCGTCCAAAAATGCTTCTCATCTCAATGCAGCTGTTTTCCTCTTTAGTTCCAAAAGCGTCCGTGCGATTTTATAAAGCGTCGGTAATATCTTGGTGGGCCAAGAAATGATTTTATTTTGGTTGGCCTTGGATAGTTTCTCACGGCTTCTATTTTTCCTGGGTTTGTCTCAATCTGTCTATTACCTAAAAGTACTTTCGCCCCTTTTTTTAAGGAGTTGGCATTTTTTCGACTCCATTGTGAGATTTGCATCAGTCAGCCGTTTTAGGCGCCTTTTGAACCGTATTCCTTGTTGTTTTCAATTTTGGTATACTTCTATTTCGTGCCTATGTGCGAATTTTATGACTCGCATGAATGTGTTCGGAGAGTTTATGCTCCCCGTAGGAGTCCGTTTGTATTGATGGTGCCTGTTTGGGCCAGGAAGAGCTGTTTCACGTGCGTCTTTTCCGTAAATTTCTACTTGGAAAAATCTGCTCTTCCAGTGGCTTGCAGCTGCCAAACTTTCCAAAATGTTATCCTGGAACGATGGTGGGTATAGCATTTGCTGACTGTTATTTCGTTTGTAAACCGTAAGTTTTTTCTATTGTATCTATAAAATATTTTAAATTTTCATCCGAGTTTTTATTATTGAAAAACCCGATCATGGCCTCCTTCAAACCTGCAGTATCGTCCCCAGCGATGCCAAACGGTTCCGCCCCTTTTGAGAAATTATTTCATTACTTCGGTAAAGTGAAATTACACCAATATTTTATCAAAGGGTTTATCTTCATATTTATATTTATCAAATATTATTTTAGTATATTTTAATATGAATATAATATAGAGTACTTTTTAAAAAAAAATATTGTCAAGTACGTCACAATTAAGTAAACATAAGAATATAACATACAGCATGCGTGGAAAGTTTCATTAGGAGGAAATTTCAGACTTTTTGATGGTCCAAAGACTTAAACTAAAAAAAGACACTCGAATGGACGAGAAGTAAAAGCTATTCAAGACATAATAGTAAAAAAAAGGAAAACTGTATGATTACAGAGCAAAAGTTATCCAGAGTCCCACATCTAAAATCTCTTTTTTTTGTGATTTTTTTCCCCGAGAAATTAGAACCAGTTAATAACCACTTCCTTCACTCTCTTCATAATGTCATCTATTTTCTTGAAAATGAAAATAGGGCGTTTGGTCGCCTTATCGTAATCACCTCCTGAAGTGCTCGGCTTCGGTAGTGTGCCATGATTGTTTAACCAGTCATCGATAAACTTACGATCTGTTTCATCAAGACCGGCCTTTTGACCGTTAGATGGAACATTAGGAAAAAATTGGCTAACATGAACAATTAGTTGTGCTTCCTCATTTGCTGTTATTGGTTGTTGTGGTACAGATGAGTGCGGACCATCGTAACTCGATTGTTTTCTCTTCTCTAAAACTATCAAATTACAATTCATTTTAATCAGATGTAAGAGCTTTTTTTATTTTAAAAAATGAATGATTGTGTATATTTTCAAGTTAATTGTTCAATCGTTCTAAGATATATACGTATCCAAATAGTAATGGTTCACAAATACCGAGTTAATTAGTAGATACAGAGCATGCCATTAAAGTGACGAAGAATATGACAGAAGGAAAGATTATACTAGTATTGTTGGAGAAAAAATTGAAACAATTCTATAAAAAAACATCAACTTTATCGAGTTGTATAGCAAACTTGAAAGGTATTAGGGAAATTTTTCACGAAAAAAAAAAAGAAAGAAAAAAAACAGTAACTTTAGTATAAACGGTTCACGTGCAAGCCAACAGCAGTTAAAAGAGTGGACGAATCACTGCTGCCAAAAGTTACGGTGACATTGCCGAAAATTAATAAGGGAGACCGGGGTAGTCTGGCCACCCTAACTTTATCACGTTATTATGAACGACTACTTGATTGTAGAATAATTTAAAAAACGCAAATAAAAGGGGCCGGATGTGTAGAAATAGTATCCAATTTGTTGACTCATATGGTGTATTATAAACATAATAAATGTAGTTTAAATATGAAAAAATGAATGCGTCTCAAACTGGCCATTTTACCCAGGGCCGGGGTAGAGGTGGCCATATCCCGGGGTACAGTGGCCATCGATTTAAAAGGTTATTTTAAATATTGCTACTAAACTTACGTCTAAAAATTGAAAATTTATGTAAATTAATAATTACTTACATAACGGATCGACAAATAAATATGTATATCAACATAAATATTTTTCTGTCAGTATACACATACAATAAAGAGAAATATATATTTTTCGGTATATCGTTGTAGAAAATGAATGAAAAATAATTACGATGTTTTTTAAACTTTCTTATTAATTTATTGACTTCTTAATCTCAGCAAAATCGAAAGCCAGTCTTCTTACATCAGTCGAGGTAAAGCCCATGAATTTACATTCCATTTCTTCAATGTAATTTGCTAAAGCTTTTTCTTGCTCGTCATCAAAAGTACGACTATAACCTGCAGACTTGTTTATTTTCTCTGCTTCATCAGCATTTTTCGCAGCTATTGCAATTCTCCTTCTCAAAGTCGTTCTTGGGATGCCTGACTTCTCTGCCTCAGCTTTACAAGAGGTACCACCAAGCACATTTTCAATTGAAAATTGCAATTGGAATTCATTCCAGCCTTTATCCACAGTTTTTCTCTTATACTTACGCACCATGACTTATTTTTATTGCACCTTTAATACCGAATTGACTTAAAATATGACTAATTACTTAAGTACTACATAACTTTCACCTGACACTGTTTGTTTTGTTTTGGCTATAAGTACGATTAAAAAGTTTAGGTTAGTATCCGCAGATTAGCAGACTGACTCAGTATTGACGTAAACAACAAACTCGATGGCCACTGTACCCCGGAGAGATGGTAACCACACCCCAAAATAGGGCTATTTTAAATTACTTATAATTCTATTTCTAAATAATATTTGGTAAAATAAAAAAAGCAGATTGTAGATTGAGGTTCAAACTTTCAATTTGTGTCAATTTTGAATCGATTTGATGTATTTTCCGCTTCAGGCAAGTTTAATAATGTAGCTGTTCCTCCAAATTTTTTAACTATCAAATTTAATTATTTAAAAATTTAACAAAAAGTCATTCTATGGTTTTATTTTATTGACAGCATGTAAGTAGAGATATATTTGAATAAAAAAATATATATTAAATTTTTATCTCAATTAAATGGTTGAATATATCCAGTGGCCTGTTTACCCAAAAATAAAAATTGACTAATATCAATATAAAATGTATCCTAACCTGGTTTGTTTACTTTCTTACAATCTGGATATTTTCCGCATTTGGCGGTCTTTCCGGGAGGGCAAAGGTCTTCTTTGATAACACATTCATAAGTAGAGGGGCAGATGATGTCCTGGCAGGTCCTGCCGTATTCTGAGGAGTTATTTTACACCAAGTTTTTCTTATTGCATCAAGCGCATTAACTGTTACATTTATTTATTTTTTTTTTTTTTTTTTGAATTTTAATTATGCCTGTAATATCTTCTTTAACTGTGGTGAAGATACACACCCAAAATAAAAATTTTCAAAGAAAAAAAAATCATTTTATGTTCATAAAGGAAGTTATTTCCTATTATATATAGGTCAAACATCTGTATACATATATAATATTTAGGTTACGTGATGGATGTAACTGACAAGAAGAAGCAACAATTACGAGCTGGAAAACCGACAGATTTGTATCTGTAACACAGGCTGTTAACAGTTGTCAACCCAACGTTATAACATCCACGAGTGTTTCTTCAATATTTTTTAAAACCAAGCAAAAAAGCTTGTTTTTTTTATATAACTGTTATTTAAAAATGAGATGGTAGAAAAATTTTGAAAAATTATTTGTGTTTCTTCATTACAAGAGATAGTTTTCATTGGCTTTTAATCGTTTCATAGTATTATATGGTTATACTTGCAATAATTAAAAAAAGTGTTACTATTTATTTTTTGCACTGTTTTCCCAATTCCAATGGCAAAAAAAGTAATTTTTCTGATGATAATATTAAAATAAGTACGTGGTAAAACGATTTGAAATTTCGCACACATTATTTTTGTACTTATATTAGTATTGGTAACAGTTTTATAACTTTTTAAAAACCTTTGATTTGGAAAGCGTCTATACCTTTAAATTTACTTATGCACAGTTGTTTCATGTGAGACGTGTGAATTAGCATAAAGTATAGATTTCGACTCTTGACATAATAGTAACAGCAGTGAGTATTTAAATTTAAAACTTGTGTTAAATTAACGAGAAAAAATTGTTAATTGATACTTACTTGAAAAAGCCTCCGAATCATTGACGTAAAAAAGTACTGCTAATAAAATAGCAAAAGCAATTCTGCTTACTTTTGGCAGTTTACACCTACAATACGTCAAAGTAGATAAATTACAAATGAGTTCGCATAAAGGCTATCAAAATATAAATGGTCAAGTTAAAGACCAACTAATACTTACATCATGTCTTTACTTTTTTTCGGTATAAAACGAGACGAAACTCCTTTCAACTTCTGTATTCGATGGTCAACTTAATAATTAATAATTAAATTGATTTTTTAATGCTAATAAAAAATGATTTGAAAAAATAGAACAAAGAAATATTTGAGTGAGCTTGAAAATATTTTGTTGAAATAAGCCTGACTAATATATTTGTGGATTCGCAAAAAAAAAGAATGCGACAGAAAACGAGATCAATGTAGGTAGTAACTATTTCTGTACCTTACACTTATAAAAACCGTGTGTATTTTAATTAATGCCACCACTAAGAGACTGAACGGAAGATCCGAACTAGCGGTTACTCCACTTGGTAATGCGCTAAAAATCGCCTCGGTAGGCTTTAAAAACTCTTGCCAATGTGCGCCAAATTTTCTCCTACTGTACTACCAAATGCTATAAAATACATTAATGTCGGAGAAAGACATTTTTAAGAATTTGCTTTTTTGAAATTTAATTTTTAAAAAAATTGCTGAGAATTTTCAATAATATTTACTACATATTAATAGCTAATGGATACAAATTTTATCATTGAAAGTGCAATTTAAAAAAACAGTTCAAAGTATTGACATCAAATGGTTTTCAGTGAACAATCAAACCGAACAATATACAAGAATGTTTTGGATCTGATCTTCTGAAATAAAGTATATTTAAATAGCAAGTTAATTCACAACTAAATTAGGAATATTTTTATCAAATACAGAAGCAATATTTTACTAGGAAATTTTATTGACATTACATATTACACAATGAATTTAAAATATTATGACAAGATATAATTAACTGTAATTTATTTATAATGTAATGGTTTAAAGTAAATAACAGTAGCTTTTGTAACTCTATATCATAAAACAAGTGAAACAATTGTGTTTGTGGTTAAAGTGATTTGATATATATATATTGTATTTGATTATTATTTCTGTGAAGCGAAATTAAATTAATTGTTCATCAATGTGTTTATCTTAATATTTATGTGATGAAGAGAACAAAAAAAAAAAAAAAAAAAACATATAGTGAAGCTAGTCACACCTTTAACAATCTTAATTAGTAAGTCATAAAACCTTTAATATTGTGTACAGCTGATGATCAGTAGTTGATGATCAGTAGTTGTGCAATGTCTCTTCTGTAGATTAAACCCGAAATTCTTTACTCCATCTTCTGAGACGCCGTTTGTTTCTGATTGAAGTTGTCAAGTTCTAGCTCAAAATCGTCGATAGCTTCCAAATCTATGCCATGGTGAGTCTTAGCAGAATTTTTCAATAAATTATGATGCTCAGGAGGTATTTCTGGCACTGCTTCAGGTTTTTCTGTTTGGGTTAATGGTTTGTTTTTATTTGTATTGAGTTATTTCAGTTTCAAAGTTTTTATTAACTTTACAGCAATTTATATATGCATAGTTTAAAAAATTTTGGTGCAATACTCGCAAGTCAATCAATGTGCAATTACAGCAAGAGTAAATTTAAAAAAAAAATAAGTGGTTCAAAAGTGACTTCAATATTTATCGTTGATGCGAAAAGTGAGCATTTTGAAAATCGAAAAGTTAGTAAAATGTGTCAGTTTTATAAATTTTTTTTATCACCTTTGAGGAATCACGTTAAAAAAATGGTTCTTATTACATCCCCAACAATTTGATAAATAAATGAAATTAAAGTACAAAAAGACGGAGTATTAATAGAGAAAACAAGTCGTTCAAGCAAAAGGTTTTAAATTAACGAATAGAAATAATAGAGCACAAAATGAATAGGATTGGGTGTGAAATTCTTACCTGGTTGGCTTTTTTTTTGGCAAGTTGGATAGAGACCACATTTACCTATGACACCCGGTATGCATGGGTTATTGGCCATTACACATTCCTCGTTCGGGAAGCAGCTGATATCCTTGCATCCCCTGCCATATTCTAGGGAATAATTTTATCTTCAGTGTCCACAAAATGTTACTTTCTTAAAAATTTTTTAGAATTTTTTTTCTTTTTCAGCAGTATCCAATAATTACATTTAATTAAATGAGAGCAAAAATGTTTTTCAAGTTACGGGTAAAAATTTATTGATTAGTACTTACTGCTAAAGGCATCAGCAACGTTGGCGCAAAAAAGAACTGCCAAAGAAACAACAATAACCATACCGCTTACTCTTGCCATTTTATACCTGTAAAGGCCAAAGCATATTGAGTACAAGATAAAAAAAATCCTAGATTTTTTTTTTTTGTTAAAAAATACCTGGAGCTCAACTTTCAAGTAAAAAATATTGAAAAAATTGTCTTTTGTTTAAAAGTTATATTGAACAATCGAAATATATTAATTGAACTTTTTGCGTTTTCATCTCTACTCTATACAGTTAAAAAACACGTTACATTTGAAACTAAACAAAAAAAACTTTGTGATTTGAGCATATCATTAAAAAATTTAAACGTAATTTAAGTAAAGCGTTAAAATCAACGTAAAATGTTGAAAGTCAAACAGTCAGGTTTATAGTTTGATAATAACGCAACATTTATATTTGATTATACTATTTACGTAAGTACGTTTTACGTACCTTTACGTTAGATCGACTTTTTTACACTAGAGTTGTAAACACCGTATTGGTATGGATGTAAGACGAAGCGAAACACTTTGCCAAAAAAAAAGAAAAAAGCAAAATGCGAACTACTTAATAGCTTTCCCACCTGGCAATGAACGAAAAGCCTCGGTTGTATGGCATTTAAATACTCGATGAAGCCTCACCTTTCAAGCTTTAATGCTTTTTCCAAACATCTGATTGAATTCTCTTTTGTCCTTGTTTTTTTTTCGTAGTGAATAGATACACTTAACTTTGCTTCTAAGACGGAAATCGTCATCTATGGTTTCGGATAACGTCTGTGTTTACGAATATATAAGTTTAGTACTTTTTTAAAATAATGAAGAAAATTGCAAGCGTTGTAATATCTAGAATAAAAATAAAATTATACCCATGAAATTGGAGATTATGAGGATCAGAATTATTTTTTCTACGCCTTAAATAGGCGTGGTACGGCTACAAAATCATTATCTTTTTATATATATATATAGTCATTAACATTGATATTTTATTTATTTAAAGTACATTTTATTAAACTTAAGTCACGTACTTGTCCTTGCATCTTTGACAAACATGAAATTAATTTACATCATCCTACTCATCGATAAATAGATAGTATTATTCAAGAATTTTCGGAATTTACCAAAGCATTCATACCCACTTTTAGTAGAAATGACGTATTATATCGTTCAATAGATTATCATAGTTCATTAGACATCTGCTTAAGATTAATAAGCCATTTATGAAGTTATGTACACATACGTTGGGCTTTACATACTTTTGGAAAATTAATTTTTGCATTGTAAGTGTGAAATTTGTGAACACCTTGAAATTAACATTGAGAGAGAAATGGATTGCGGGGAAAACAAAAGTGGCACACCTTTTTTTAGTGCATTAGTAATTGTGTCAATATTTTGACGAATTCAAGCCATTTTATTAACCGCTAGCAAATTACTCAAGTGTTCCTCACATTGAGATTACGTACCTTGTGAGGCAATACCTATCTTTTTCCTTTGTCGATACTCAATCAATAAAATTTCGAACAAACGCTGCAAGAGTTGTAGCGAATGGCTTTTAAAACAATAAACGTAGTATCAATGATGTATAACAAGTAAGGCCTCTTTATTTTAAGATTATGAGAGCCAATATGATTTTATATGATTCCTAGACGTATTAAATACATTGATTCATTAAATTATAGTACTAAAATAAACTATTGTCTTCAAAGTGACAAGTGATAGTTCTGAGAATCCTTTTCCTAAGATAAACTGATTGAATGTTACATCTCTTAAAAATAACGCGATACCTTTCAAATTATTACTTTTTTAATTGAATAAATAATTAAGTAAAGTGTCAAGTTTGATAGATAACTGTATACATTTTTTTCTGAAATTTTTTCAAAAAATTTGGAAGTGATAAAGTGTATGATAATTCAAAAACAATTATAAACAAAATTTTATTTTAATCAAACATCGATGTATTAAGTACATTTGGTGCAACTGTCAGAGACATCGAGCGGTTGCCCAGACAAGTTTTGCTACAGTTGCTCCCCGGCTTCCGGAGAAAAATTTTAGATATAAAATATATATACCAGATCTATTTATCGGCAGTCGGGTGTACAGATTGGATGATTTTTCGACTAATCAGTCGTGGATTAAAAAGATCTTATAGTGATTAATTTTGTAAAATTTTCATGATTCAACTTTGACATTTGTTACAAATAATAGTTATTTTTATATCATGTAGCTATCGAACTTGAAGATCAACATTCATGGTAAAAGTATTAGTTTCATGGAACCAATAATTTATTAACAACATTCAGAGAAACTATTATAAAAATCAATTTTAATAATAGTTAACACACTATTGACTTAATATCATTGATGCTCAACATCAATGCACCATCCATTCTCTACTACGTACGATATAATTCATTACAGATCATCTAAAACGCACACTGCGCTAAAAAGCAAAAAATTAAAATTTCAGATTCGAGGATACTTTGTCCATGATGGCTTGCGTTATAACTTGCTTGGCGGCTTGTTTGGCGAAACTTGCGAGCTTATCGGCAAAGGATGGTTTTTTCGTCACTGGCTGTTGATTCGGACTATAACCACCCGGATAGCCACCCTGCTGAGGTGGATAATTTGAGTTGTATCCCCCTTGATTGGGATACCCCTGTGGCGGTGGAGGATAATTGGGATTGTATCCATGTTGGGGGGGTCCTGGATATGCTCCGTAAGGGCTGCCATAAGGACTCGCTCCTCCCTGTGCTGGATAACCGGCGTTGTTTACGCTCGAAGTGGTCCTGTGCAACGAAGGGTCCGAGTTTGGATAGCCCGAGCCCGAAGGGTATCCAGAACCTGATGCCGGATACCCCGGATAGCCGGATGGCGGGGCTCTCGTATTGCTGGACGGGTAACCGGGGTAACCATATTGGCTGGGCGCTTTCGAATCGGCAGGATAACCACCTCCCGAGGGGTATCCTGGGTAACCGGACTGGCTTGGGGTGGGTGCTGTTTTTAACTCTGTCGGGTATCCACTTCCCGAGGGATATCCCGGGTAACCCGATCCCGACGGATAACCCGATGGTTTGGGACTACTTTTCGTTGGGCCTGAATCCGGATAGCCTGAACCCGAAGGGTAACCGGAACCAGGAGCAGAGTTGGGAGCTGCAGCGGGTTGAGACGAGTCGGAAGCGCCACTTGGGCTTTGAGCATCTCCTCCTTCGTTTGTATTCTTTTCTTCGCCTCCACCACCTTCTGCAAACATTTCGTCAAGGTTTTGCTTGTGATTATTACTCGTAGAAACTGTGATTACGAGCCAACAACTTTGACCAGAAAGATAGGAAAATACTTGGATAGATGCCACCTGATACATGCGTGTTCATCCGTGACCGTGCTTACGAAAGTTAATCGTTTTAAATGCAGATTGTTGAGAGTGTAATGATCGAGTCAGCATGAATTTACAGATGTGTGTGTGTGTGTGTGGGTGTGGGTGTGTCTTATGAAAGTGTGAAGCGTTTTTCGAAAAAGCAAATTACGTGAGCGCAATAACCCCATGTTACAAACTTTGTCGTCCTTTATTTATCAAATGACGATTAGCTGTAGAATATTTACTAAGATTATACATGCTAACATTACATAGGTAACAAGGTAATTTTTGGGTGGTTTACATTGATTCATATAAATTTTATTACATTCGGAAGTAATATTTTTTATTACAGTGATTACAATTTCCCAATGGAGTAGTACATTTATTGACATTACATGTTACATTATGAGTGTAAACAATATTATAATATGTAAAAAAAAATCATATGTGTTTTATGTTGTACTGGCACTGGTTTCAGGTTGAGATGTGATTCAAGGCGAATAACAATACGTTTCCATAATTTTTTTTTTTCTAGACGTAAATTGTTTGTTTCGATAAGTACATGATGTATTATTACATTTGACTTTTGTTTACTTAAACAAAACTTACGCGTTAATTACAATTATCTTTGTGTCGGTAAACATTCGTCCAATTAGTAAAGATTTTACCCTCTTGTTCATCTTACTTTTCTCGATACAAGTGAAAACGGATGAAAAACAAATTTTAGCTTTAAAAGTGAGTTCTAAACTTTTTACAAAAGCTTCAACGACGTGTAAATCTATCCGATGACCGCAAATATGACAATTATTGTGACGTAGTGGCTCTCCACTCCGTCTACCCCGAAAATCTCCACTCCTTGTTGCCTTTGCTATCCGTGGACACTTTGGTGTCGTAGTACCCCTTACCCCCGGGATGGTAAGCAGGTCTGCTGGTCGTTCTGTCGTAGAATTTACCTCCACCTCCGGAGACGCTCGGTCTCGTTCGGCCGGCATCGCCGCCAAACAGACGATCGAAAATCGAACCCGACCCGATGGAATTGCGACCACCGGATTGACCGTTGTAACGACCACCGAAAGAAGACCCGCCACGGGGTGGTGGTGTTGGTGGCGTGGGTCTCGGTGTTACTACTCTCGGTGGAGGTACGTATGGACGATTGGGTGACTTTCTTCCATCTGCAGCTGTCGAATTTGCCATTTTTTGTTGTTGTTTGTGCTTTTTGTTAGTTTTGAAGCTCAGCAATTTTTTTTCCCCCATTTACTTAAAGCTCGACTTGTTTTGCTTGATAAAGAAAAAAGAAAAAAAAAATGAAATGAATGATACATGAAATCGTCGCTTTCTCCTTGGATGCGGGAGCGTCGGATTTTGTCTTTGAATTTTAGGGAATGCTGTACTTGATCGAGAAAGCGATATCGAGGCAAAACTTTCAAGTTAAAATGATAGTAATCCGAAAAAATGCTCATCAGTCCAACGTTACAACACATTAAATGCGAAAAATTTAGATTTTCACTTCAACTTTTCATGTCATAAGTATTTATCGTTTTCCTTCAGAGGCCAATGTTGTGCGTCGCAAGTGTAGTGTGATGGGTCACTGAGGTCGAGGCGATAACACGGAAGATCGAGCGTGTTTTGGTAATCCGAGTAACCGCGTTAGCGCACTGTAACTAGCCAACATATCGATTCAACAGGTTTTCCGATGACAATAATTTCAAAGACTTTCTCGTAGGATTCAAATTGTTTATTATTTTTCTTAGTTTTTTCACCATAGTTAACGTATACAATTGCACTGCAGCTAAAATAAAAAAACAAAAAAAAGAACGAAAATGCATAATAATGGAAGATGTAATACTGGAGTCTTCGTACAACTAATTTGAGCTCAACGATACAAAGAGAAACTCGACACTCATACAGCACTGATTCGATAGGGGTGATATTACGTGTCGTCCCCATAAAAGGAATCTCAAGGGCGTCATCCGTCGTTTTGAAAATAATACGTACAAAATATCTCGAAACAATTAAGGCACATGCGCTCTTTGAGTACAGGAATTGGTATACGCATTATAAATATACTTATATTATTATGTTACATTTCTCTTTGACTGAAAAAATTATTTTACTCGCAGGGACAATCTCCAAGCCCTTTCGTAACCACACACACACGTATATATTATCGCTAAATTTGATTAAACAGTTAATTTCGAAAACGCCGAAATGACATATATAATCTCACGCACTAGATTGTCATACACAAGCATGTCAAAGTTTTTGGTAGAGAAATAAGACTAAATGTTACTTTCTTAGGATCTATTGATCGAAACCGTTTGGTAAAAATCCCCCGAAAAGTAGAGAAGGCATGGAACGGACCGTAACACCAGTCGATTCGATTTCGGGCTGTTGCGCCTTGGAGGGAAAAACAAAAAAACGTTCGCTCCCTCGGTAGGTATGACCCGCCACGATTAACGCACCGAGTCCTCGCGCGATTGGGGTATACTCCTTATATATATGTACAACACGCGAATGCGATCGAAAAGACGCTCGTTTGCCATTTCAGGTGATGGCACCTACGCCGCTATCAACCTGCAGCCAAGAACGGCCAGAGCTAGGGGCACGAGGAGAGCCAGGATGGAAACGGTGGAAAGGGCAGCGCCGTTCCTTCGGTGGATCGTGTTCGGGTAGCCGTTGCCCCAGCCCGGACTGTGCTGGGGCATGTTGTGCTGGGGATAGGCGTTGGGGTAACGGTTGTTGCTCTGCTCGGGGCGGTACTGCGTGGGCGGGTAGACCGGGTACCCGTACTGGTCGACGGGCGCGCCGGGCCTGTTGTTACCGCTCGGATAGGGCGGGTACCCGTTGTTATTGTGGTTGTTGTTGCTGGGGTAGGGCGGATAGACTGGATTGTTGTTGGGATGGTTGCCGTACGGGTGGTTGACCTCGTCCGCCGGTGGTGCGTTGGCGTTGCCGTAGGGGTTCGAGTTGGCGTAGCGGGAGCCGCTCGGGTCTGCCGGCACCTGGGGCGGATAGTTATTGTTGTTTATTTCCGTGCCCAATTGCTGGCCACTCGTCGATCCACCCGAAGAGCTGGACACTGCAAAATTGCGGTTCTCGTGTTTCTTTTCTCTTTTTTTTCCACTTTTGACGTGAATCCATAGCGTAACTACGTCTATTGCTTTTTTTTTTTTTTTTCATGTCTCGACTACCACGAAGTCCAGCCAGAGAAGGAGTTCCTTGAAGCGCACCCGTCTCATCTTCAAGTGAGCCGTAGCGAGATTGTTTTGGCCTTTTTTTGCCCTTATTGGTTCAAAGTTTGTTTCTCTGGGTGTCTTCGCGAGGAGGACAAAGAAAAAAGCGACACAGAATCCCACCACAGCAGAGTATTGTTACATCACGGATTTTGTTGTTGTTAGACATACACAGAGACATAATGACACCACACTTGGTTACGTAGACAGGAGACATAGTTCGTGCAATGTGCGTATACATAATTATGTAGTTTGTAGCAGTGTGCGACTCGTGGATCATCGTCTTTTCATTTATTTACATTTGGAATTTTTTTTTTTTTTTTTCCTTCCGTACCGTCTCTGTGGCGCTTGTATTATTTGTTGTGTGTACAATAGACCGCGATGGTAAAAAAAAGAAAAAAGGTTTGCGTAGGAGGGAATCAACAGCAACCATATCAAACAGGTGCAATCAGTGTCTATATGCTATCACCACTAAGGCTACTTCTCCCGCTACTGACTAATGCTAATGGCATGCATCGTGTTTTACGTGTATTTATTAAAAAGAAAAACAGTAAAGGTCACTCTCCAACCCCTACAACACGAAAACCAAAACATCTCTATACTTTAAAAACATGCTGGCTTCTACTACGCATGAATGAGAAGAATTTTTCAGACAGGTGTGTGCGTATCGGTGTAGATCGGACGAGCAGAGAGAGAGAGAGAGAGAGAGAGAAAACGGGAGGAAAGGGAAACTATTTCGCTCGTTTCTGCTGTGCAAGCTTTATTCATTCGCGCACCCACGTACGGCCGGTACACGAGCATTTCGCGAGAACGGACGTGATGCTGTGTTGCAAAGAGAAAAAAAAAGTATTTATCTCGCAGCGATCGTGGGACGCGAAAAACATCGAGCTTGCGAGCAAACGTCACGAAGGAGAGAGATTTTTTTTTTTTTGTTTGCGGCTAACAGAGTCACGTGCGGAGCGGCTGATTATATAGAGACAGTGCGAGGAGATGATTCTATACACTTTAATTTAAATGTGTGTGTGTATGAGATGGTGACATGTTATGGATCTTGGTAATAATGAGAGCGCATCATTTATTCTTTGGTACACGCCCGTGTGTACGGCTATATATTTATATTATCGCGAACGGATGTTATGCAACGCGCGTCTAAGAAGACGCGTATACATATAGGTATCGTGGGTGTGTTATTGTGCTTCGGAAATATCGCGTGCTCTCGACCGTGTGGGAAATGTGTGGAAAATCTCCTCCGTTTAGGGGTAATTAACGTTTGTTCATCGGTCATTGTTTGCATCAACAGTTTTATTGTACTCGGTACTTCGGGGCAGTTGTATACTTCGATGCAAAAATAATCAAAGTACAATTAAACCGAGACTTATAACAAGTGCTCTTTTTTTTATCATTTTACAATTAAAATGTAATGTAAGTACCTACAGCATTACCGAGTTTTTAGTTGAGAAGTCAAAGGTACCCAAAAGTAACTCGCGATATTTCCACAAGGGCTTGATGGGCGAATGAAATTGTGAATACAGGAAAGCCAAAAACCAATATGTCTTATAAACAGAGAGTGAATGAGTCTCGAATGATTCAAGCCAATAGTTAAAGTCGAGAAAAAAGAGTTAACAGACATAGAGAGACTAAAGCACAAACGTCAGCATAGGATGGGGTGTGGAGTTCTTACCTGGTTGGCTGATTTTCTTGCAAGTTGGATAGCTACCGCACGAGTCTGGCCGATGGATGGTGCAGGGGTCCTCGGCCATCACGCATACTTCGCTGGATCGACACCCGATGTCCTTGCAGCTCCTGCCATATTCTGGGGAGTCGATTTTATTTTACTTTTTCGAGAATAAAGAAAAAGAGGGTGGGTGCAACGGAGAACATGATTGAATATTTCGCTTGGCATTGATAACAATATCTAACCGTCCCGAAAATGGTTTTAACCAATTCGATGGATAATTAATAGTTGGTTATGCCAAGCTTTTATTTTAGTTCCTACGGGCTTAGGGACTAAATGCTATTTGGTTATTGAATTTGGAATTTGATTTAAAATTAATGGCTGGATTTTAAAAGTGGGCCAAAGAGTTTTTGTTTACACCAGTCTTTTTTCCTTAAATCTATGCAGGACTTAATAAAGAACAGAGTAACATCAAAAAAGTGGACAATTCGTTTACTCGTAAATGTTCCACATCCAGTCGAGGTAAAAAACCAATCGATGAAAAACATTCAGTTGCACCAGAGGGGAAAAGCCTTCTTTCACGCGAGGGCGAGCAAAAAAAACGTCGTCACTTACCCACGAAAATACATTTTCAGTTTCCACCGTCGCATAAATCTATATATTCGCGCCTGACGCGATAACACCAGAAGCCCAGCCGATCGATCGACTCGAGGTGGCTGGATAATCGATCGCTTGGTATAGGCAACGTACACACGCGACGACGTGAAATAACGCGGCTCAACGCGTACAACACGGCTAATTATTATTCAATTTGCGTGACGCGCGATTATTTTCGGATGGAGATCGATTTTCACAACCAACAGCTCCGCGACGTAAAACAGCCCCCGATCGGTACGATCGGTATACTTAAGCGGAGTATGTTGTTGTCAGTTGACAATTTAAATCTCGTTGGGTTCCCATTATCATTTCGAAGGACTGTGTACGAGTAATCCGGTGATCTCGAGGTATAGGTACTACCATTACAATTATCAGATGTCCACGGCAGTCGGGTGTTGCGCGAACAATCATTGTCGCATAAAATAATATGTTCCACGTTCCCACTATTATACGAGGTAATTACACATTCGAGATTACTTGCGTTGGGTATGAAAAAAAAAAAAAAAAATTTATGGAGAATTAATTGCGCCATACGCGTTGTAGATCTCTCGAGAGCACTGAAATAATCACTGGTTACCCAACGAGAAAAAAAAAATCATCGTAACCCGAGAGAGCGACCTTTGGAATGACATTTTATATAAATAGGCGCCCTATGGACAGTGCGCACGGAGAGAAAAAAAAAAACTTTTTTCTTTTTTTTCCAACGCTCACCACCTGCATGTCCTTTCAGCGCAATGTTTTCCGATACATACGCGCGCCCACTGACGTACTACCGGCGTCTATACTTTTAAAACACTCGGGCGTTCATTGCAGTCTAGAATAAATGTCTGACGTCAATATCCCATCGATCTCACTCGGTCCACCCGTGCACACATCACGGCGCTCTTAACTTGGCTTCTGTAGTTGATAATCGATTAATTTCATTAGCATCACCGATCACGCGTGAAACCGTATTCATATTGCCCGTTTGGTACGTATACGTGTAGTGGTACTTCTCAGTGGATGGAAATTATTTTTTGCATTTGCATTACTTTGCAGCCACGTAAATTGGTCTTGGCGTTTGATTTATAATTGGCAATAATCGCAACGGGCGAAACTACGCCTATGCGTCTGAGCGGAAATTTTTCCCCGATATCCGAAGTTTTTATATTTTCCGAACAACGCTGTGTTGAGGGAGAAAAAATATACTCACTGGAGTAGGCATCCGCGTTGTAGGCGCCAAGTAGTATCGCCAGAAAAACGGCGATCGCCGTGCCCGTATTTGTCATTTTGGACCTGCAACAGATAAACGAGACATGAGACGAAAAATTGGCTTCTTCTTCGTCTCGTCGTGCTTTCATCGAGTTGTCGCGCTAATTACCCGCACAATGTCTCAAAAGAAAAATAAAAAGCACACCTGCAGTGGTCCTGAAATGTCCTACGAAATCAGAGGCAAATAATTAAATTTTTGAAAAAAGGGTACGTGTGAGTGCAACATTTGATTGTTTGTTAATCAAATGCAAGTGACGTAGGAAGACTTTGTGTTTACGTGCAGTACACTTTTGCCAATTTCTACGCCAAATAGTACGGCTTATCGCTCTATAAAGCTAAGTAGTTGCTAAAAAAAAATTGGATTTCTTTCAGAATTTTCGAAAAGCTGAAAAAATAGTAAAGATAAAAAAATGACTCCAAAAAAAAACCACGTCCAGCCAACGCGGATAGTCAAAAAGACTGAATCACCTTTTTGGTCATTGGCCTTTTTTTTACCATCGAACGACATCCAGATTTTCACCAAAAAAACTCTGACCTTATCCTTCGAATTTTTAAAAGAACGAGAATAATACGATGGAATTAAAATAAATAAACGTGTCGAATCGAGAGACGGTGTTTTTGAGCGCACGACGCATAATATGCCAAAGAAAGGTCAGCAAGCTTGGCTGGCTGGCCTTTACTTAATCGACCACTGTACTGCCTATGAAGAGTTCACGCTCTCTCACGAGGACGCTTTGTTGTTGTTGTCATTAAATTAATCTCCGTACAAGCGATTGCGATGAAAAATAGTTTCTCATGAATTATGGATTTATTATACTCTTCATACGAACAATAACATCAACATCGACTTTTCGCTCGAAGATACTTGGTATCAAGTTCCATACCGATCTCTGTTTTTTTTTTTTACGAGTTGATTTTTTTATCTGCAGTCATAGCATTGAAAATTATCAAGTGGATACTCAAATTCTATGGAATATGAATAAACCACCAATCATCCTATTAAACATCGGTTACACGAGCTCTATATGCACCCCAGCTCGGCCCCAATAAGAAAACTACTACACAGCAATTGCTCCGGAAAAGATCGAGTGCACGATATTACGCACAGAGAGTCGCGTGACATGAATTTGCCAATCACGTTATTGCTCATAATTGCAGAAGAATGAGCAGCAAATCGTCTCCCAATGGACAATTTTTACTAAAAATAAAAGTGACGCGGTGAGGTGTTACTTATGTTGGGCGTGGGCTCCTCCTTTTCTTTTTTCCAGGCTTTTGTAAGAAAAGCTCGGTTTTTTGAAAAAAAAACAATAATTTAAAAGTGTGTCCAGTTAACAACCAAATGAAAACGGAACCATTTTGTTTAGAGTATACGATTTGTCATTTTGTCTTTAATAACTAACTTACGAAAGACATCAACATTCCGAAAAGTCGCATCAATCGACATATTTAACTTATTATTATACATTGGTTGTCGATGACGAATCGTACTCGGAAAAAAATAATTCTATTAATATCAGGTCGTTAATTAGTAAGCTATAATTTGTGCTCCAATCGGAATGTTTTTTCTTTTGTTCCAAAAGACACTCATCCAATGCAGGAAAAAAAGAAAAATACGCAAAACTGGTTACCGGCGACCATAGTTGACTCGAGCAGGGAGAAACAAACAAAACGCATCTCGCTGCGTATACCGATCTCAAGGATCGACCGAGTCACGGCTGCTGCCATAATCCACGGAAACGCGATCCTGCTCGTTTGGCAAAACGATCTACGTCAATCGGCCCGATAGGGAACTCTGCAATTGACACGCATACGTATAACCGTGTGCACCCATACAGGGACAAAAAAAGGAGACTTTGCTCTTGTATTGTGACGACACACACGCCCGCAAAGGTGATGGAGTCAAGGTTAAGAGTATTCTCAACAAATGTACGCTTGCGGTCTTCGCGAAACAACAAAATCCTGGACATCCACATCTATATCTAGTGGAGAGGAATATTTGATAGATATTTTACCGATTCGCGCACGAGTATACCGATGAAATCGGGAAGAAATTCATTGATCCGTTAAAGCGAGTTCCCATGTCAAAAGGTACATTTACGGGGATACGAGCTCGGAAAACAAATTTGGAGTAATCTCCCGAGTCGAGACTCTCGCGTCCGCGAACACACACACACACATACTCAGACGAGAGACTTTCTCGTCACGGCAGGGAGAGACACAAGACTATTTTCGGCTTTGGTCGCGCCGACATCACCGCGCGTCCCTATGGGCACCAACCAAATTAACCGTTGGAACGCCACGGGGTGAATATACACGGTGTACGTATCGAGGGGTGGTCGGACTATCGCGAAATCAGCCCCTGCGCATGTAGATGCAGAAACGAGTCTGGTCAGTTTTCGAGTGACACTAAAAGTGCGTTGTGCAAACCTTGTACCAATTGTCCATCCGAGCGAGTAGGTATAAGTATAGAGAGAGAGAGAGAGAGAGAGAGAGAAACGTCGTACATACCTTGCTTCGTGTGCTGGGTGGACTTCTGTGCACCAACGGTGTACGGTTAAAACTACGTAGGTACCACGATGTGGGATAGAACGAGCGCGTATACGAAGCAACGCCAACAAAGGCTCGGAGAAAGAGTGGAAGTGTATATGAAATAGCGAGCAAGCTGCTGGCTCGCCTGACACTGAGCCATATAATGCCGTTGCGGTGGAATTTCAGAGAGCGCGCGCTCGCAAGTGTGTGGGGGGGATATTGCTCGTGCCTACATGTGCGGGAGCTCACTCACCGACTGGTGGTCAAGAGAGAGACCGGTATCGCGGAGAGACGAGGAAGGGAGAATTGGAGGATGGGACAAAGAAACAGTGATGCGAGAGAGGGAACGAAGAAGAGGTAGTGGCTGTGCTTTTTTTTTTTTTTTTTCTGATATGTACAGCTCAATTTTAAATTGATCGGTAGTGTTTGAACAATCGGTTACGATTTTTTTATCTGAATGTACATCTACGTAGCTGAGAATTTTTTTTTTTTTCAACTAATTTGCTTTCATATTACAGCCATATTTTAATACAACCATTCGTTTAGTATTTTTTTATATGATTGTCAATTTTAGATCCTTAAAACTGCTAAATTAGGTCAAAAGAATCTTTCCGCTCTTGACATTTCGTCAATTTGTTGTGAATGTTAAATATAATTTGCGAAACGACAAGTAATTAAAAATGCTAATGAACACTTGACAAATTTAACGATGTTCCCCATTAAAAAACAGTTTTTAATTTTTTGCAAACCAAGGCTTGGATAATCGTTTCAACGTTAATTAATCTGCTCAAGTATCAAGTACGTACATCAGTACATGTGGTATAATTTTGCACTGTAATGAAAAGATGTAAATTACCAAGTAATTTTTTAACTCTTATTCGATGAAAACATTTATTTTTCGAGTGTTACCATGCGTTTAATATTACGTTATGAAAGAAATTAGTAACATAGAGTAAACCCCTCATCAAATATGATGAGCCACTGTGGTTTTATTATGACATGTGGGTATTATTATTTTGGTAAATAGCAAAGAATTAAAAGAAACAAAATATTTAAGTAATCCATGTTAATGAAAGACAACGGTCAATGTAAATCACTCAAGTTACATGACGTTCTCTATGAACAATCTCAGTTTTGGGACTTGAGATTTTTGACACATTTAGTCTCCCTAATAGATTTCCAATTTTTTTCCCATACTTGCTCTTTTTACAGTACAAGTAGCTTCAAGGTTTCGTCGATCAATCTTTTATTTTTGGAAAAAAAGAAGATTAAGAAAGTATCAGTGATTACATTAACCCACGATCGAATAAATAGTATGCTCCGATAATTTAAATGGTAATTTTGTGTTACATAAATTTCTGTGGCTGAAAAATTTATTCAAAAAGATCAAATACATTTTTGTTCCCGAACAAAAGCTTTTTTTATCATGTAAAATAGCAATACAATTTTTTTCTATCGTAAATATTATTAAATTCTATCATAAGTAAAGAAATTTAATATTTATGCAGCATAAAATTCTCCAATGTTTTCTCAAGGACAAAAATTTTCTTAACGCGGTAGGTACAATCATACATACATAAAATTCTTTGATTTGAAATGTTAAACAAAGTACCTTTGCTCATTTTTTGATTTTTCAAAGTAAGTAGTAACAATAAAAAAAAAATTCCATAATGCCGTCATGTCACTGAAAACTGTTGACTGTTGTACATCCAAGACATGAACACTTTGCTAAAATTTGTAATACGTAGAAGCATATCCAACGCACAAAGAAGCAGCGTTGGGAGACGCGGTATTCTACACCTTTGTATGAAGAAAATGCGACAGGAGGGGAATAAGTGGAATGAGGCTTATATAAAATAGAATATGAGACGACGAGACGTACTATATATACGTGTAGTGAATAGGACTAGGCGAGGAAGGACGATATCACGTGGGGAAGAGGCGGGAGGTGAGAAGGAGGAAAAATTTAATTTCGTTTGCTTGATTCAATAGTAGTGATGTGCACTTGTACGGTACGGGATTCTACTTCGGTGAAAGGGGAGCTTAGGTGGGTTTACCATGCGTGTGGTGTGGAATCGAAAAAAATTAAATGCAGCCGGGACTACCTCGTATTAACTCTTGACCATTCAAGTTTACTTCATACTGTAGTTTTTTATTTTCTTTCTTAATCAAGTGCAGATACAAAAACTTTTGTTTTCGAACAAATCTTTATTTTTGTGAAGGGTAAATTTAAAGTTTTACTAGTACGAAAATAAAAATAAAAAATTCAAGTAAAAAATGTTTACTTTTACTCTGAAAACTGTTTTTTTTTTTTTTTTTTACATAAAACACCTCGTAAAACTGCTTTACTCCACAGTACAGTGCACTTTAGCACAATCACTTTTCCTCTAACGAGTCAAAAGTCGACGGTAAAACCAACTCACGCGTGGTAAAAGCTATTTTCTGAAAATTGCTGAATTTTTTTTTTTTTTTTTCAACAAATGTTACTTTTATCTCATACGTTTTACACAGCCAAACCACGAGAATCACAATTGCAAAGAAAATAATAACATTCACACGAAAGCAACAGTTGAAGGAAGCACGACCATTTCCCGGCCACCCCATTCACATACATAGAGTTAATGCGACCCCGGGAGAAAAAAAAAAAAAAAGCTCCGTCAAGTCCATTAAGCAAATTCACTATCTGCGTTACGTCCGAAACTTGTTCGTCGGCCGGCACCCGTATACGCACACACGCAAGATAAACAAATATATAGCTAGGAGCCCAGCGCGAAGAGGGGACGAGCGAAAAGCACCACTAGCTCGAAATTCGCGAGCGCGAGGATGCCCGCCTACGTGTACACAAGAGCAAATAACACGGCAGTTTCAAACTTTCGAGTAGGTATGCACATAACAGATGCGAATGGATGTTGTAGATGCACCTTTTTTCTGGTACGTACAATAACCACCCCGTGAAGGGGCTGCCCTTCACTGTAAAAGTAAAAGATATGATTAAAGGGGTGGTAACTACCGCGTTATCTATATTTATCCTTATTTTTATTGCAACTGAGCCTATATGTTCTCATATAAAGTAGCACTTGTTGTGCGGCACAATGTTTGTAATGTCGACATGTTCTCTTGTTACCTAGAGATTTGAGGACCTCGTGATTGAAAATGAGTTATACGCGGTTACGTGACAAAAGGGAGAATGAGATGGGAGTGGGTCGGGTAACCGAGCTTGCAGTGATTAAGATTTCCCGTGATTTCTTGAAAAGTCACACGATACTGCTCCTTTACGGGGGATTCGAGAGCTCGATCCAATTTTTTCAAACTCCTCCTCCTCTACCATCCCTCCATCGCTCTTCCAAAGAGACTTTAGCCGGGGAGTTCAGCGGAATCGAGTAAAAACTTTTTTCGAGCTGCTCCAATTTTCGGGACGGCTGCCCGTGACGGTGCAAGCGCGCGAAGAACAAAGGCTCCGGCGAGAACATCGAGACGTGAATATTTCAGTGTACTCGTAAGATGCTCGAATGTGCGGCGTATCGGGTGTCACTGGAGCTCGAAAAGAATTTTCCTCTCCTGCCTTTCAAATGAACTCATATATTCCACGAGTTTTCGAAATCATTTTTTTTGCAAAGCCGGTACTTTCCAGCCATATTCGAGTAAATGTAGACCATCGATGGACGTAAAAGAGAACTTTCAATGCCCCGATCGGAGATGAATGCAATACCGGTGAGTTGAAAAGAGAAAATTTCTCCCTCTGCTCGGATGGGATTAACAAAAATAAATAACCACTCCAACAGCTAAAAGTGCTACGGAAGGAAAAAAAACGCGCCTTTCTCGCTGATTCGAGGGGAAAGAGGCCAAGCGAATCCTCTATATCTCTTAATAATTTCCTCATTAAATTCATCCACTCAACGGACGGGAGGACGGGGATAAAAAATAACCCACAGCTCCAAGAGGACGGAAGATTATGCAATGCAGGTTAAACGCATTTCATCCCCGTCGCGACAGTTTTTCTTCGATAATTTCTAAATATAGGTACACATCTGTCCTCTCCCCCCCCCTTTTTTTTTGCCCTCCTGTACAACCAAAAAAGGGAAGAAAAAAAACACCACCCCCCATGTACACAACTACGTGAACGATTGCTCGATAGGGAAAAAGAAAATAATGAGGCCATCACGAGTGGAGGCGCAAAGGGTAGATCGGTGGCCTGGAGGGTGGTATATACATGGGAATGCATTGGCACCACGAGGTGCCCGCATATTTTCCATCCGCGAGCTGATGGTGTATGTGTAAGGGGCCGATCGGGAAAAAGCAGGGGGAGTCGACGCGCCAGCCTCCGTATCCCTCGCGCTTGGTGCTCGCAGCTCGCGTCGAGCCGAGCTGGAAAAGCGCACGCAGTCGTGTGGCGTCAGCGGCAGCAGCGGGCCGGGCTGCAGTCAGTCGGCTTCCCGCGCTCCCCACCTGATAACCGCTCACCCGAGTATCGCCTTTCTTTTCAAATAGAAAATTCCAAGTTTCATTTCATTTTGTTTTCTTTCTTTCTTTCTTTTTTTTTTTTGTTTGTTTTTTCCAACTTTTCTTCCTTTTCCATGGAGCAGGACGCGCTGGAGTTTAGTTTTTAAAGTTGTGCGAGTCTCGGCTTGGGCTGCAGTTTCGCGTGACGCGTGTACCGCAATTGGAGACAAAAGTAAGTCGAGTGGCCCTTTGGTAACCGACTGTATATTATACTCATCTCTGCGGAGGAAGTGCCGAGGGAGAAGTGTAGCGGAACACGTGACGCGGCTGACCGGCAGGAATTAACAGCCACTTATATATATATACACGTGCGTATTATCCTATCCATGGGTGATGTACTAATGGGGGAACTGCTTCCGAGGGCCATTACTTTGATTGGATATCCTTGTTAATGCCTCTTGGGCGTCTTTGTTGCACTTTAATGACGATTGCTATCGAATCGGGGTAGTTTTTCAGTTTTTTTTTTTGCAGAGAGACAATATGGTTTCGTTTATTTATTCATTCATTTTTTCAACGGCCCGAGAAAATTTTGCAAGTACTTGGGCAAAAATGTACTCTGGTTGTAAAGTTGTATTAGGTAATCCTTTTGTACCTTGCAGCGCGATGTTTCCGCGTAATTGGATGCTGGTGCATTTTTGCACAATGGAATAAGGGAGGGGCAAAAAAAAG